ATTGTTGTTATTGTTGCCATTGTTGTTATTGCATTGTTGTTGTTGCTATTGTAGCATAATTTAATTTGAATGCATATGCGACCAAAGTGGGTAATTGAATAAGTTTCGCGCTGGGTATATTGGGTTTCATTTTCTAAATTTGATTAGCGCCGCGACTCAAAATACTATTTTACACGTACTCAGGAATCGCGTGCTGGATTTGCCGGGCTGGAGAGGGTGCAGGGAAATATATTGCAATTTATTTTCTGGCCAGCTTAGCAGCTCGCTTGCCACTCAAATTGATATGTAAACGTATGGGGGGTTTAATGCCGGCGAACAGTTTGCTGAGTGGAGGCAAATTTACACACTCGACTTCGATTTGTGTTGTTTGTTTTTTCGGGGAACTCGGAGGACTCGTAGGGGGAGCCACGCCCCCCTCGGGCAATTCGATTGCAATTTCTGTGGCTTGTAATCAAAATCGATTTCTCATTTTTCGCACACGTCCGTAGCTGGCCGAAATTGGAAACAATTTGGCCAAAAGGCATTATGGCATCCTCACGTACGACTCGAAAAGAGCGGGGGAAAATGGCTCCTAATGTGATTAAAGTCCATTCATTTGACGCATTATCCCTGGTTCGCTTAAGGTCAGACACTTGATTAGAGTAATCTTTTTTTCCTTTGATTTCGTCTGTCATTGAACTTTTGGCGAGGCGGAAACGAAATCAAAGCTTATATTTAGTGAATAAAACTCGGCTAATTGCCTGGGAGCCGACATTTACGGGTTGTTTGTCTCATTAATCACAAGTCGAATGCATATTTCTGCTTAGGCGGCTGCTTAATTAATTTGATTAGCATTAATCGTTTGAATGCGAATTATGAATCAATTTATGGTTAGCTCTCTCTGCTTACTTTGCTTTTTTTCTGCTCGCGGAAGGTGTTCAGCCAAAACAAGTTCGTTGCCTAAGTCTTTCGTTTCACTCGCCTGTTTTTTCCCGCTTTTTACCCCTTGCGAAATACGCCGCAGCAGCCTCCTCCTCCTCTGAGTCTTAATCATTTTGACAAGTCTCTCCCCTCATTTGCATAATTTTGAATAACGTTTAATGCCCGGGACACGCCCCCCCAAAAAGGTTGCCGCTTGAAATCGATCCGAGCGTGGGTCTATCACCGATCAACGATTATTGATCGAACGGATCATGAATATGCGGAATGCCGCTATTAATTGGACAGCTCACAAGATTGTTAGCTTCTTGAATATGGCATTGAATGTGGGCCACGCTTGGCTGCCTTTGAAATGTTTAATTACTAAACTAAAGATTATGAGATGCACAGAAGATAATGATGAGGGAGTCAATAAAGTTTGTGGAATAATATAAGCCAAATACAAAGCAGCACATATTTCCTTTTTTTAAACCTTGAATACGGTAAATATTCTTTAATTCTTCAAAAAAAATATATAAATATTTATTTAAATATAATCATTATTGATAACAAGACTTCTGTTCTTTTAAAGAATTCTTCTAATCAATCCTAAAAATGTAAATATCAGTATAAAAAATCCTAAATATAATATAAATAATTACCTTTATAATTTCTCCCTCTGCAACCTCCCACTTGGCTTTAATTATTGTTATTTTTATATTACAAAGTTTCTTGTTAATTATTAGTTTTTGAAAGAAACTTTCTTTGATTGTTTTACTTAGTTAACCGATCTTCGTCGAGGTGATCTCACCTAAGACCACTCAACTCCCATGTAAATGCCTGAAAATTCAATTAATAACCCACTATGACCGGGTGAACCCCCCTGGGATAGAGGAGGTCGACCTACAGCAAAGCCCATGCCCAGTCATGCTCGGCTTGTTTGACTTGGCTGGGAGCTCTCCTCCACAGCTCCCAAAAGCCAGCTCTCATGGAGCTCTCACCACGTCAGCGTGAATGGACGGACAAATGTTTGCACAACACACGATAATGATGACAAGCCAAATTAGCTACTAATTTTCACAGACACAAGAGCAGACACAAGGAATGAGGGTCAGATCGGAGCGCCAGGACCTCACACAGCTGACGTTTGTTAATGTCTGGCACCGGAAGTCGTCGAGGGTGAGGACGCAAGGCTCCTCGCCTGATGCTGCTCCAAAGAGTTGCCCTGGAAATTGCCATAAATCAGCATTTGATTATCCTTTGGCTCGCCTAATTTTACCTCTCGACTAATTTTCTGCTCCCCCGGCTGCTTCTCTCGTTCTTCATCCCCTTCCTCTCCTGCTGCATTGTCATGTGCGTGTTGGTTTGTTTTTAATTTATTAATTACTAGGCGGTTCCGCCGGCACTGGCGAGTCGGATCTTGGATCTTGTTGGCCCAGGGCTTCCGCTATTAGCGAAATCTTCTCATCTGCTTTCTGGGTGATCCGCCTTGTCAGCGGTTAGCGATGAGCCACGGCTAACGGTTGTGATGAACAAGAAGTCCAGAAGAAAGCCAGATTCTGACTGGTTTTTAACCCATTGAAACTGAGGTTTAAGGAGTTCTTTTCGTAGGAAATGTAATGGTTTTGAGTGGGAATTTATGTTTTAAATTAAAAATCAATATTAAAGGCTGTTAAATTAAGTTTCTGAGGAGGCTTTAACAAGGTTTTATATTGTTTAAATCTTATATTTTATTTTATTTTACATTAGATCTACCATCTTAATTTCTCGGTGATTTGTTAACAATATTCATACCTTATTGAAGGTGTCTTAATTTCAGTCAGAAGCTTATAAAAAAGTGATCAGCATCAACAGTCGAGTCAATCTAGCCATGTCCGAGGAAAAACAAATTTTAAAAAAATGTTTCCATTTTTTCAAAATTTAATAAGGGGTTACATCATTAAAATTTTGCAAAAATTGATAAAAATTCGAATTTTTTAAAATGTTAAATCCAATATGCAGATTTATTAACCTAATGAAAACTAGCTTTTAAAAGCTTTCCGAATTAAAATTAAGGCATTTTTAGCTTAGTTATGATAGATTTTAGCTAGGTCCCCTGGTCTGATTTCAGCTGGAAGGGAATACAAACTTCAACTTTCCTAAGTAAGCTTCCTTTCTTATTTTAAACATAAAACTTTTATGATAAAAGTATTAAAATATTAGGTAGTTATTGAGTTACCTATATTTTTAGACATTCTAAACGTGATGTAACAATTTATTTCTTATTCTTTTTTAAACCAAAACAAGCATGATAAGATTTTTAGTGATACCGAAACTTCCCCTGTCTCTAAAAGAGTGATTATTGACTTAAAATCATCTCCATAAATTGCTTCCTATTGCTCCTAACCATTACATATAAAACTGTATCTCTCTTAACAACAAACTAAGTAAACAATTTATATTGCAAACTCAACTTTCTTCTCCTTAAATAAATACCCAAATTATAGGCTTGGGTTAAGGCAATAACTCGGCTTAGAACAAGCCAAAATCAAATGTTTCTCCTCTAAAGATACCCTCACTCTCTCGCAAAGCCGCCTCCACGCCTAAACAGCGGCTGTCAGGCGTTCCAGACAACTGCCACTTGGCTACCCCAAAAACAGCCCAGGAAGATCACTCGGCGCATGATCACCTCGGGTGGTCGGAGGACGTCACTCAAATTGAAGTCCGGCAAATGAGAATTGCTTGGGACTGGGACAAGAGGCAGGAAGAGGGAGATAACATACACTGACCAATCTCCATCAGTGCTCCATCTGGGCGCTTGGAGTTGCTGGATTTTTAATTAAGCGTGGCCAGGCACCCGAGGCTTTTCGTCAAGTAGTAGCTGCTCTCCGCTCTCAACGGGGGAAGTGCGCGTAGCTCACGGCTCTCGGATGTGGAACAGGTCTTGTTAGTAATTTTTAATTTGAGCTCTTCTGACAGCCAGCTGTCATATAAATTTAATTGAATTTACATTTTTATTAATTGCCAAGGCAGCTTCAGAGTGCTGCTGGGGCCAGGCATGAATGGGAGATGAGCTGGCTGACTGACTGACTGGTCACTCATCAGCACAGCTACAGCTCAGGCTCCTTCTCCAGCTCCCTCCTCCTCCCTCCTCTGCGTTTCTTCTCTGTGAATGAATTTAATTTGAGATGATTTGTTGATGGTTTCGTTGCGGTGATTTCTTGCTGACTAATTTAATGTGATTTTTAAATTGCCCAGCAGACGAGGCTGAGCCCAGGCTGAGTGTGTGGCCTGCGAAGAGGCAGGGCAGGGCAGGGAGGTATCTCTCTCTCTCCTCGGGAGATTGATTGGGGGGACTCTGGGACCCAGGGGAGCATTTTTAAAGGAATTAATGAGATGACACGCCTCTTGCTGGGCGATAGAATGGCGGCCTGGGAGGATGCCCCCTTGCGATCATTACCAACTAATCTAATTTGCAAAGCCCCGCGATGACAATCGAAGCTGGAGCAGCAGCTCCTCTCCTCTTCCATTGATCCTGGCTTACCTGTCCAGCACTAACGAGTCGTTCGTTTTCTGCTGCTCTCTTTTTTCCGCGAGACCCTTTCTGGTTTAATTCGCAAATCAAACAACCGCAGGGCAGAGCTTGGCAATTCGCGCATAAGTAAATTAAAAATAAATTTATGTGCACGGCCAGAAACGGGTTCGCGAATGCAAATCCAATTAAAATTCACCAAGGCAGGAGGAGTTTAGGGTGACGGGGGAATAGGGGGGATCGCATCCTGCGACTGGCGCTAAGCCGTAAAGCGAAGCTGTGCGCTGATTTAAAACACTGCGGGGCGTGCTTATTGATTAAATACAAATTGCATTCATTCATCATCATCTTGTTGGGTTACTGGGAGGATATTGGTGTTTTGCTTATGGTTAAGGCTATTGCCTGGCAATTAAATTACAATTTGTGGAGGATGTTCTTTGGGTAATTTTGTAAGTTTACAAAAAAAGATAAACTAAGAAGGTTTTAGGGAAATTTTAAAAAGCGCGCCCACTGGTTGGTGTCTCCGCTTTAGCAGTGTGACCAGTATCTGTAATAGTAAAAAAGACCTTTATAGCATGGTCACTCTCCTAACAGCTGTTTAATTATCTTTTCTTTATTTTATTTATTGCATTGTTATTGTGTTTGCAGTGATTTTAGTTAATTTTTTACGTTGTAGCTTTCATAACTAAAATGCAGGCAGACCTAAGCTTCACTCAAAGATTATAAAACCGATCTCAAACGTTGTAAATAACCACGAAAAACAGCTGCTTTGTGCATGAGCCAAGCGTCCCAAGGTGGAACCGCGCCTCTGTGAGGGTCTAGAATATAGAAATCAAATGCCTGGAACTAGTGACACACAGCGGCTGGTGCCCGCCGAGGAGGATGACCAGATCCTGGCCTCCGAGGGCAGCTTTGTGCCCGCCTTCAGGCCGCAGGATAACCAGGAGTACAACCTGGCGGATGAGCGATGCCTGCTAGAGCGACCCGAGGATGAGGTGGTGCTAGTGTCCAACGAACCCACCCGCGGCAGGCTCTTTACCTACATTGTGTTCTACCTGCTGGGCATAGGCACCATGACGCCCTGGAATTTCTTTGTGACGGCAGAAGATGTGAGTTAAAGCCTGCTGGGGGTTCGGGAATGGAAATGGGAATCGGAATTAATTTCCATGAATGAGTGGAAATTTTCCAGCCCGCATCTGAACTTCGCACATCTCGGGAAGTGGGCCAAGCGTAACTCTAAGGCGCTGCTTATCAGTTTTGGCATTGTTTTTGTTTTTTTTACGACTCAAACGACGATAACTCTTTGGATTTTCTTTGTGTTTTGTTTTTTGCTGACTCAAGCTTAACCCTTCCTCTCTTGCTCTTCCAGTACTGGAAATACAAGTTCCGCAATACCTCGATCAATGGCACGGATCCAGACGAGGAGCTCACCCCTTTGCAAAGGAGTTTCACCTGCGATTTGGCTCTCACGGCCACCATTTCCGGCACAACCTTTCTCCTGCTCAATGCCATCTACGGACATCATGTGTCGCTGCGCCAAAAAATGGTGGGCACTTTGTGGATGATTCTGATCCTATTTGGAGTCACCACAGGCTTTGTGGAGGTCAACACAGACAAATGGCAAGAGCAGTTCTTTCTAATCACACTCATCATAGTGGTGCTGCTCAACAGTGAGTTTAGCTATACTTAATCTTTATTATTTATTTTTAATTTCCAATCCAATCCCCAGTTTCTGCTGCTACCATGTCGGGCGCTCTGTATGGCGTGGCTGGCCTCTTTCCCTCCGAGTTCATGACGGCCGTGGTCAGTGGCCAGGCTCTAGGCGGCATACTCACAGCTTTGGCTTTTATATTGGTTTTGGCCTTTGACACGGGCCCCAATACCACGGCCTTAATCTTCTTTATCGTGGGCGGAGGACTCATCCTGCTGTGCCTGGTCTGCTATGAGATCCTAGCCCATCAGCCGTTCTTCAAGTATTACCTGGAGGGTGGCGACAAGTACAAAGTAATCCGGGCAGTGCCCTCGCACGGTCGCAACGATGAGGGTGAAGGAGGAGAAGTGGTGCTGGAACCTATTATTGGACAGGTAATGTCCAAGATCTATGTGCATGTGATATGCCTGGCGCTGCTGTACGCCACCACGCTGTCGGTGTACCCAGCGGTGACAGTGCTGATGCAGTCGGAGTATGGGCACAGCGAGTGGACAGGTGAGTTGGTTACCTTACTTACCCAATCTTAGATAGAAATTGAGATAAATTTCTCTTCTAGATGTGTACTACCTACCCGTGGTCAACTATCTGTTCTTCAACTGCGGCGACTACTTTGGCCGCCTGTTTGCCGGCTGGCTGGAGCGACCCGTCAACAAGAACACCTCGCTGCTCTTCACCATAGTGCGCATGGTTTTCATACCGTTCTTCCTGTGCTCCAACTCCAGCGAGCATCGATTCCTGCCCGTTCTGGTGAAGCACGACTACTCCTTCATAGCCATGATCATCGTGTTTGCCCTGTCCAATGGCTATCTCACAAACATTCTGCTCATAATGGCCCCCAAGAGCGTCAAGCAGCACGAGAGGCAGCTGGCCTCCTCCATTATGGCTGCCGCCCTCAGCTGCGGCATGGCTGTGGGTTCGCTGCTCAGCCTGGTCTTTGTTCAGATGCTGTGACGAGTCTTCCGCCGATGTGGTGCCTTAGAAAACGGTAGAATCTTTTTTAAGCTTTACTAATTTTATGTTACCTGATCTTGTTTCCATATCGTTAGGTTTAAGCCCCTCATTTTCAATTTTTATATGTGTTTTAGGTCCCAATTTGCCATTAATCCCGAGATTTTATATCCTTTTTTTATCACTCGTAATTAGATTTAAGCCTGAAAGTTAATCCGTTAAGGCTAAGCAGCTTTTAGAAGCAATATGTGAAAGGCTGTACGATATTTCTTTGGTTTAACGTTTATTTTTTAGATTTTTTTTCTGCGGATCACAACAACAATGTGGATTATTCTTATTTTTTGTTTTTTTCGACATTATTTTTGGAATTAACTAATGAACGCCATTGTAAACATCGACTGTTTGACTGCAATTGATTTTAAAATGTACATATTTGTAATTAACCTTTATTTGTTTATCGCCCTGCAGTGAGAATCGCAAACTAAAAAAATTAAAGCATACTTTTGGCGGGTTTTGAATAAAAATGTGGCATTAAAATTAAAGCACACTTTTGGGGGTTTAAAAAACAAAATGTGGCATTTAAATTAAAGCATACTTTTGGGGGTTTTAAAAACAAAAATGTGGCATCTTTTAGGCGGAAGTTCATATTACAGTTTGACAAGCACTGGTCCAAGTGAGATTCAATTTTTACAGTTTGACAAGCACTGATCAGAAACTCCCTTTTGGTCGTCCCAAGTGGAGTTTCTGTTCAGTGGCTCTAAAACTGTAAAAATTGAATCTCACTTGATCCAGTGCTTGTCAAACTGTAAAAATTTGGAACTCCCTTAGACCAGTGCTTGTCAAACTGTAAAAATGGAGTTTCATTCATCCCCGCCCAAAAGTATGCCTTACTTTATATATTATTCAAAGACTTAAAAATTCAGCGCAAAAGATGCCACAAAAATGACCAACTTATATTTTAAAATGCCCAAAAGTAGGCAATTTTTTACTTTTTGATTTAAACCGTCCCCGCCCAAAAGTATACCTTACTTTATATTTTGTTTATCAAAGACTTCAAAATTCAGCCCAAAAGATGCCACAAAAATTACCAAGAATGACTAAAAGTATGCATTTTTTTATACTTTTTGATTTAAACCAGACAAATAAAAGAAAAATAAGGAAAGCGGCAATAAAAACTAAGAAAATAATTAAAATACACTTAAAATGTTCTCTCAAACGATTAACCAACTCTTTTTAATGCAGGGCTTATTATTTTTAAGTGGGAATATCCAGTTAAATTGGATTTTAGTTGCCTATTTTGTTTTAATTAAACTTTTTATCTTAAATTCTTGCTAACATCAAGAGTTTCGGTTTATAAGTGTGTGCCTGGGCAATATATTATTGCAACAACGGGGCCTCGGTACCACAATATGTATGTTTATGCATGTAGATTTGTATATAACTCTAGGGTAAGTCTAAACATTTATTTAACTAGTTGATGTTAATTAGGCAACAACAAATTCGTGAGTTGCACTGCTCAAAATGTATCTTTTCCGCTTCTCTCCGTATTTTATTGTTATTATTTATTCATGTTTATTCTTTCGACATGGGTTTTTTCTTGGTGTTTGACACCGATTTTTGCTTTTCATTTTCGTATAAGTTTAGGTTTTTTTAGGGTTTTCTGATGCTCATTTATCGTTAACTTAGCTTACCGAAAACACACACACGAACAACAAACACCGATTAAAGCCATTCTTTGAAGTGGGGAAAGTGGGGTATTGTGGGGTTTTATTGGGGCAACATGCAAACGAGTATTAAAGCAACTACGATGCAATAACAACAACGATTGGGATAGCGACAACATCGACAACAGCACACAGATACAGATACATGATACAGGATGCAGATACAGAGATGCACTTAGGGCTGATCGATCGAGTAATGCTTACATACGTACAACACCAAAACTATTTTCAAATTTCTGAGTTTACTAGGATTTTATTTACGGCTGCTGCTATTTGGATAAGATACACAGAGATAGACACCGATTCGAGGCAAGAATAGACGATAGACAACCAATCGATATACACGATATACACACACATATACAGCTTCTGGATATTGCTTTGTCGGCTATATAAATCGTTTTTGGATGCGGCCCAATCCTACTATGAAAACTACGACAATTTGGGAGGAGAGACAACACACACTGAGACACTGAGACTGAGACTGAGACACTGAGAGCGAGTCTTGGAGCTTGGAGTCTTGAGTCGATTCTCGAGTAAGAGTTATATGGGAAATTACAACATCTAAGGTGGTTCTGCCGTCCGGTGAAATGTACTTTCAACATCATTATCTTTTGATTATTCTCATAGTGTGTTCTTCGTTAAGATTTACGTACGTACTCGCATGTGGTTTGTGTGTGTGGGCGGTTCTTTTTGGGCAGCTCTGCTTCTGTTCTCTGTTTTCGTTCTCGGTTTCTTCTGGCTGCCTTCTCTTGGTTCTTGTTTGGTGTTTCGGTTTACCTTAGGGTGAAGGGGGAGAGTGGTGTCTGGTCTACGATAAAAGGTTGAATATATACTCGTCTAGGCTGGCATATTTCAATTGTTTGATTGTCATTGAGACAGGCGTGTCTTGGGTTTACAGTTTGAGAGGCATTGCTAGGGATATTAAACTCTATTTTGCAAATAAATTTTCTTTATAGAATTTTTAAATACGGAAATATTATCAATATTATTAAAACATGTTGAAAAATTGTTTTTATTTACTTATTTATCTCATTTTTTCGACTATTTCGATATAAGAATATAGATTTTTATTGAGTTTTACACAAATATCCTCCTTTTTCGAATTTTGAAATAAAGAAATATTTTTTATATTATCCATAAATCTAACAAAATTTGTTTTTTTCCTTATTTGTCTCATTTTATCGTTTGCTTCCGAATATCGATTTTTATCGACTTTCACATTTATCAATATAGTTTCGATATCACTAAAAATACCTCCCTAAAACTGTAAACCCCCGCCCTCACTAGTGCTTTCTTTCTTTCTTTCTTTCTTTCTTTCTTATGTTTTTTTGTTTCTTTGGACTCTTTTTTTATCTTCTTTTCTTTTTTGGTGTTGTAGGTTGTGTGCTACGTCGTCTGTGTGTGTGTGCGTGTTTGTTTGTGCGGGAAAAGATCATAGGGAAAGGAAAGGGAGGGGAAAACAATTTAATAAACTTTTATTGGAGCTTCCATCATTACAACTAAATAAACGTAAGTAAGAGTAGTGACTAAGAAAACAATCGAGAATAAATATAGCAACCAACCGGAAAAATAATAATTGACTAAGTGTTGGCCTAGACTGCTCAGCATTCGCGTCCGAGATTCATTCGAGCCTTAAACTAATCGTATAAATTAGATGTAAAATGTATAATTTATAATTTAAAAAATGTAAAATGTAAAAGAGTAATACACACAACCACAATTAGCATTAGCTGGGAGCACCTCCCCGTTCGTATAGACAATAAATTATGCACTTAGATCTGCTTTTTTGCTGCTTAATTAGACACTCAGAGTTTCAGCGAAGTTCGAATAGGAAGAAACCGTATGGTTTTGTGGGGGCTTCACCATCATGTAGATATAGTTATATAGATACAGTGGCTCACAGCTTATTTCGTGCAGAGGTAAACTTGAAATTCAAACTTGTATATCTGACAAACTATAGGAGATATGAAAAAAATTTAAACGCAGTTATGTTTAGTAGGGCTTAAGCATTTATTTAAGCCCTTGATTGTTTTTCAATTCCACTAGATAACGATAAAAACTTTAAAAAACGAAAAATATTGGTTATTTTTATGTCACAGCTTATTTCGTGCAAGAAAGTTTATCTTAAATATTTCGGTTTTGCTTAAACTTACAATTTTTTTTGTCTTAACTTTATTTGATGACGTCCTCTAAAAGAGTTTTAATTAAAGAAATCAACTTTTCTGAGGACTCCTTTGGAATCTTGGACCATTCTTCCAAGGGGGCTGTTTTGAGACCATTTTTATAAGATATCGACCTCTTGCGGATGTCCAGATCCAGAATCGCCCACAAAATCTTAAGGACGATAAGGTCTGGTGACTGGGCAAGTGGATTCACCACATTAGGGCAGTTCCATATCAACCTGGTCTGCACAAGAGTCGATTTTTGCTTTGGGTCATTGTCATGGTAATGTCAGAAAATCCGCTTTGGGCCCAATATATCGGCGATCTGGAGCAAGTTATCCTTCCAAAGTTGAAGGTACATATTCTAGCCATATTTCTCTCGATAAAAACCAGGTTTTCAACATCGGTTGCCGCCATACACGCCCAAACCATGCGAGTACCACTACCATGCTTGGCTGTAGGGGATCGGTTCTTGTGGTGAAGCTCTGAATTTGATTGTTTTCAAACATATTGGTCTCGGTCCGACCTCATAAATATTGAATTTGGTCTCGTCTGTGAAAATTAATTCATTCCAGAACGAAATCGAATGAAATTATGTGATCCTTGGCCAATTTAAGCCTGCACTTCGGATTTGTATTGGTTTTGAAAGGCTTTTTCCGGGTTACTCGGCCTTTAAAGATGTGTTCCCGTTATAAACGGCGGACGGTTTCCACGGAATACTTTTAGGCCATTTCATGCCCAACATTTACTATTAGTTTTGTCGCCAAATTTTTTGAATTAACATTAATTTTCCGGATAATTCACCTTTCCTCAAGCTTAATAAAAATTTGGTTAGGAGCATTTCGGCCAATATCTGCCTCACGATTTTCCCGATTGAAGCTTGGGATGATTTACTGAACAGCACTTAGGGTAAGGTTAATTATTTAAGTAATATTTCGCCAAGTTTTTGCATTTTTAAAATGATTAAGGACCAATTCCCGCAGTTCGATAGTCGTGCGGAGCGCATTTTGTTAATTCACAGAAAACTGTATTTTCCTGTGATATGAAAAGCATCGGAGGGATAAATAAATTAGCTGATATCGCCTCCAATGAGTTACAAAAAAAATTAGCTAATTTAAAATAACAATTTACAAGTTATATGTACCCAACGTTTTTGCACGAAATAAGCTGTGACATAAAAATAACCAATATTTTTCGTTTTTTAAAGTTTTTTTCGTTATCTTGTGGAATTGAAAAATAATTAAGGGCTTAAATAAACGCTTAAGCCCTACTTAACATAACTGCGTTAAAATTTTTTTCATATCACCTATAGTTTTTCAGATATACAACTTTGAATTTCAAGTTTACCTCTGCACGAAATAAGCTGTGAGCCACTGTATATATATAGTACACCGATACTGCCAAGACTACAAAGTACATCATACATGCGAGAGAGAGTTACAACTAGTTTGTTCAGTTAGAAAACGCGATTCGCTTGGTTTTAACTCGAGGTCAGTTCCTGTCCAAAAAAGGGTGCGTGTTTTGCGGAGGGCAGGTACTGCTCCTCCTTTAGCTTAATATCTACGAAGACTTTTTCTATGTTTCTGCTGCAAATACTGAAGACTAACAACTTGTAGAACCACAATTAAACCTAGGTTTTTGGGGGAGCCCCTTTACGTTTTCATATCCGCTCCGGCCGCAATGCTGTTGTGCGACTTGGCGGGTGAAATGCCGGCAGCACCTGCCTCCAGATTCAGGGTGAGATTATTGCCTGCTGAGCTAGCGGAGCCCGAGCAGCCATGGTGATGGGGTCCATGGAAGAGCACCAGGAAGCCACTGCTGGACACACAGCTGCGTGACTCGGCATCCTTGTCAAGGATCTGGCGAGCCTATCAAGGAATTGTTGTGTTGCAGCTTAAAATCTAAATACATTTGAAGGCTAGAACCTACCTTGGAGCGATGATCCGCCAAGGCATTGCGCACCGAGTCATGCTGCTTCTGCAGCTCATCCGTGCGCCGATCGAAGGTCTGCTTCAGACGCACGCGCTCCGCCACGCCGCGCTCCACCACAGAGCTGGCCACCTCGCGTTTCATTCTATCACAAAAAGTCACAGTTTAAAAAAAAGCTGAAAGAGGGCTTAAGTTTAGTTAACCCACCTGACTAGCTCGTCTTTATCCCTGTGCACTGTGGCCAGATTCTTGACCTCGTTCCGACGCGCCTCCTGCAGCTGATGCATCACCTCTTCCGTGACCTTGTCTAAAGACGCCTTTAGCTGCTTTACCTGCGCTGTTTGCGAGGCCTTGAGCACCTTGTCGGCGGCACTGTAGATGGCCTCGTGGTACTTCTCCTGCAGCTCTCGATACTGCGAAGTGTACTCCCTGCAGGCACTGCGCAAACGTGTTTCCTGGGTGCCACTATCCTGGTTGCTACCACCAGCCAGATCTTCGCCAGCTCCAACACTCTCCTCGCTGCTATCGCCCAGATCCAGGGGACAGGCGGGCACCTCCACGCCGGGCTCGCTGTTCGGAGAGAGACAATTACTAATTTCAACGGCGTCGTCTGGCAAGGCCCTCTAGGAAGCCCACACACCCAACCCGAACACTTACAGGCTCTTGTTGCTCAGCCGCTTTACCAACTTGTTGGTGATGGCAAACTTGGGCTTCTTGCCTTCGAGGGGACTGGACTTTTGGCCTGCTATCTTGACCTTCTCCTTGTCGTGCTTCTTGCGCAGCGATTCCAGCTTCTTTTCCATCTCCAGCCGCTTCTCCTTGACGCTCTTGTGCTCCAAGATCTTGTCCAAAGGCTCAGCCACCACCAAATCTACATCAAACTGTGAGGATTCCACCTGGCGTATGGAGGTGCTTACAGATTGATCCAGGGAGTGCTGATGCTGTATCGAAGGCGCCACTATGGAGACGCAGTCCTGGTCTCCCCGTCCGCCATCTGTGCGATCCAAAGCCACACAATCCACACTCATGGCTGCAGCTGCCGAAATGCTGGCCCTGTGCTTGGGCGAGGTGGCTAACGACTCCACCGGACGCAGCTCCTTCTTTTGGCCACCTACTTGGACGAAAACGACTGGAGGTTTAGAGGCAGAAACAAGCAAGAGGGGGGCAAGGGAATAAGAGGTGCAGTTTTGTGGGTCCATCAACCGTGGGGGGTGTTGGTGTAAGGAGGAGTGTGGTGTGGGTTGGGTTCGGGTTTGTGTTTTGTGGTTGTGGTGTTGGTTTAACCAAAATCCATAAATCCAAAAGTATAACCGAAAGTTTTTACCAAAAAGAAAAGTAGAAAGAAAAGAAGGTAAATTAAAATTCCAAAAAAGGAATTAAAAAGAGAAAAAGTGGTTCTAATACTCCTGTGTCTCTGCTTTTACTCACACGACTTGGAGAGATCCTCATCCGCACTGCCCACTGCATCGGTTTCATCCGTCAGCACCGACAGCTGTATGTCACGCTTCTCCAGCTCGCTTTGATACTTGATGGGATTAGCCAAAGCCTCGGCAAAGTTGGACAAATCATCGGGCACATAGTCCTTGACCACCACGCACAGGAAGAGCGAAGCCAAAGCTATGGGTTGACCCACCTCAGAGCGCAGATTCACATGGCGATAGCCTGGACACAGACCTATCACCGGCAGCACGCGATGTCCTATGAGCTTGCCTCCCTCCTCATAAGCTGCTATCCTGATGCTCGCCAGCTCAGGCAAAACCACCTTCTTAAACACAAAAGGCTCTTCATCGTAGACCGGATTCATGCCATTATCCCTGACAGTCTTGGTGCGAAACTTCTTGCGCACTGTATCTGCCGGCAGGCCATACATGTCCACCTCCACAAAGGTGTTTACCCTTTTGTCCGTGAGAAACTGCCCAGAGAGCACGGTAATCGAAACTGTGCCCGCTATAATGCCATCCACAGTGCTCTCGGCAAAGGGATCTAGTCTCCGATCCGAGCGGCGCATAAACTCCGGCTTCAGGAGGTATCCCGAGCGGGCATTGTACTCGAAGATGCCCAAGTTAAGCTGCATGGCCAGGTCGAGGGTCTGGAAGTTCAGGGCCACCAGCTGGCATCCAGCGTTCCAGAATAGCTGCGGCATGAAGTTGGAGCTGTCGAAGCGAGTGCCCGCAGGATAAACACGAGACAGCTGGTGCTTGTTGTAGTTGACAAACTCGATGGGTCGCTCCTTGAGCAGCGTGGTGGCCTGCTTCTCGTCGAACGAGGACATTTCATAGCAGCGGTTTTTTTCTGAAAAATTAGGAAAGTATTAGGAATCTACCTGCAGTGTTTAAACCCTTTTCAAAACCCACTCTCTGCATTCTCAAAGGAGCTAAAGTGTATGGGCTGGACGTAGTTGACCAAAGCAGAGATCTCAGCCCCAGCCTCTGTCTCCTTTTGGGCCTTCTCCGGCGGCGGTTCATTGCCGCTGGGCGGATTGGGCGTGGTATTGGGCAGGGATTCATCGTCCGAGGAGCTGTCCGAGTCGGAGGAACCGGTGCTGTCCTTGGAGCTCTGGCGGATTTGCTATAAAAAGAAAAAGGGAAAAACATTTAGTTGGGCGAATGGCTAATCCCTTGGTCTCTGGAATATTGTGTATACGCAGTGGTGTCCCCATGGCGGAACTATTAAATTGCATGTCACGGCGTTGCATTCCCGCTGGCCAATCCTTCCTCCCCCCCTCCGGAAGGGTCAGCCAGGCAGTGCCCACATGAGAAATGGCAGATGGAATATGAGACCTATTATTATGTTGTATACTCGCATTCTCTGCAAAGGTCCTGGTTACTCCCTCGCATCTTGCACAGGGGGAAATTTACGCGAAAATTATGAGATAAAGCCCGCTGAACAACACAAAAATAAAGGAAAGGTCGCCTAAAAACCACAACTATTTTATATATATTTAAAAATAAGATTCCCTACATATTTTCCCCTCAATTTGTGTTTATTAAACCTCATTTTATACCTCTGACTTTTCTCTCCGTGCAGATAATGCGAAAGCGAGGCAAGAAAATGGTGCAGATTGTGTTTCCCCACCCGCCCTTTCATGGCAACGGAAAGAGTTGAAAGGGGGCCAAAGGGCGGAAGTACACAATGCATTGTTGGGCATTGCATAAAGTTTACGACACGACGACAACCAGGACATGGCGGTCTGCGGTCTCTCGTTTCCGCTCGCCTTTACCCTTACCCCCATCCTTGCCGCATCCCAATGGAATCACGTCACTCCGGAATCGATTTATAAAAGCCCCGCAATTCCGGCTGTCAAAGATAAAGTGCAGCTGGCCACAGGCAAAGACCAAGAGCAAGTCTACTTCTGAATCCCTAGCGTAAACCCAAAAAAATGCATATTATAACCATAACCAGTGCTTTTCAAACTGTAGAGAGGCCTGCCTGACTTCCATTAGCGGCGATTTCCAAATGGCCAGCGCATCCCCAGTGGAATTTATTATGCAACACAACCATTAAACCTAAACCCCAACTGGGCATGTAAAAAATGCATAAATTATGGCTTTGCTGCACTAATGGCAGAGAGCCTAGCAAATGGCAAATTAAATTAAAATGCATACACAGCTGGCTAGGCTAATTGAAATCTACGAGGGGCAGAGATTCGGCAAACATTTAGCCAAATTAGTTTGGGTTTCCAGTTCCGGCCGAAAACGAAGGCCTTTTGGGGGCTGTCCCTTGAGGCCTTGGTTGTGATTACCGCCTGGGATTACAGCTGGCGGGGGGTTTAGGATCTGATTAGTGAGCGTATCATGTGTCATTTCCCCTTCAGAGACGAGTTGAGTGGAATAGAGTAGAGTGGAGTGAAGTAGTCCCTGACCATTCCACATTTCCATAGAGCACAGTTCGTTGACTGTCAGTGGCCAGGCACTAGCCACAGCCACTCTATTCCATTCATTTTCATATATTCATTTGTAACTTTGAGTATGAAACACACACTTAAATGCAGAGGGAGAAAATTTAACTTATTGAAGGTGCTACAAAAATTAAAAGGGGTGTGAAATTTCATAAAAAAAAGCTAAATTCAGTGGATTTTCTAGTTTTCTCCATTTTTATATATTTATCTAAATTTATAAAATATAAAAAAATGTTTATTTATATTTATAAAAATCTAGAGGATCAGAGAAAACTATTTTAAACTAATTTCTACCAAGAAATATAAGTATAGCCAAAAGTTTTCAACTCCTTGATTCATTTTCCCAAAAATTATTATCTAAAATTATGAATAAATATTAAAATTTTAATACCCCTTTTGAAGGTATCATAATTTCACTCAGAAGCTTGTAACAAAGTGAAAGAGTCATTTCCGACCCCATAAATCATATATATTCTTGATCAGCATCAACAGCCGAGTCGATATAGCTATGTTCAAGCAAAAAAAAAATTTTTCAATTTTTTCAAAATTTTATAAGGGGTTACATCATTAAAATTTTCAAATTTTGCATAAAATTTGAATTTTTTTTTAAATTAAATTTTGTATGCAGATTTTTTAACCTGATAAAAAATAGCATAAAAAAGCTTTCCAAACTGAAATTAAGGCTTTTTTGGCTGAGTTATGGACAATTGATTGATGCGATGGTATACAAATTTCGGCTTTCCGAAGTTTCCTTTCTTGTTTTAATATGGAAATTAAGTTAAAGTAAAACAAGATTATGTTAATATAGCAAACCAAACTCTTCATAGACTTAAAATAAATAAATATAATCTCTAGAAGAAACAAAAAAATTATTTTTTAAAACGTTCCTTTACTTTTTTTCTTTTATAACGATATTTAAAAATTAAATGCGACATTTCCTATATTTTTAAAAAAAATTTAATGATATTTTCTATATATAATTAAAGTAAATTGCCTAGAAAAATCCTCAGATATTCCCTTTCCTAATAAACAATTCTCCCTTGAATAAACCCTTCAAGCTTAAAAGTTCCAACTTTTTTCTAACTGTGCAAACCCTCCCACATGTGCCCCTCCCATTGGTGTGTTGTCATCATGATTATTGCGTATGCAAACAGAGCAGCCACGATGACAATCGTCATCATCATCATCATCGTCAGAGGCAGCGGCAGTGACATCGTAATAGACATCGACCACGCCATTCACCATAAGCAAACAGAAATACAAATCAGCCGGGTCAACAGAGACACCAACACGGCCTAGTGTGTGGAGTGTGTGGCGTGGCTCCTTGTGGCCATGTGTGTGCGCACCATTAAATGCAATTACAGGCACGCCACTGCCACTGGCACTGCCTTTGCTTGTGCCACGCCCACGAAAGTAATAGCCATAATGGAGAGATATGTTATGGTGCGACCTTTGGCCTTTCGCTGAATACTCACTTGCAGTGGCGGAGCATGACCCGCTGCACCGCCTATGTCCCCATTGGCTGTGCTTCTGGCGCCGCCATCCTCTTGGGCAGCCACTTGTTGCGCCGCCTTGGCCGCTGCATCCACTGGAAAAATATATAAATAAAATATATATAAATAAAGATATATAAATAAATATTTATATAGATAAATAAATTAACCGAGTGTCCTTCACGCTCTCCCCCGGAACCAATTAATTTATGGACGTAAGCAAAATGCGACAGGCTTTTAAAATCCAGTTTCACCTTAATGGAATATCATTAAAAAAAATATGTATAAATCAAATTACGACAGAGAGAGAGAGAGAGAGGAGACGGGCTGGGGATCCCCAGGATCTGACAGAGCTGACAGGCAGCTGGGGATCTCCATCTCCCCTGCCTGCCTGCTGCAATTGCAGTGCCGGGGGCCAAAGCCATTTGCATTTATAAATTGGCTTTTTGCAATTCATGAGCTAAATGTCATCCGGCCAATGGCAGAAGGATGTGGCCATAAAATGAGGATACCCGGGGTGTGGCGGTCACTGCGAAATGGCGACAAATGTTCCCGGGCCCCCGGGAACAGCTGTGCAGCTGCTGTGCATGCAAATGGCTCCGGCAGGACCCTGGGAACTGCGCTGGCAAAACAGGAAGTTTAAGTGGAAGTGGCCAGGCAGCAAATTTATAAACAACATTGCTGTTTGGTAAGGAAAAACTTTACAAAGATACAGAGAGGAAGAGAAATAGAGCATAGGGGGATACTCTTCTAGGAGGTAATGGTCAAACTTTGGTAAATATTAAGCCAGGCAATTGATTTGAATTTATTTATTTTCAAAATAAACAAGAAGAAAGCTCTATTTGGGAAGCTGAAGTTTAAATACCCTAGAAGTTTGCAATTGGATTAGAAATTGGAAATCGATGAAAAATATAAAATTGATTATTAAATATTAAATATTTAGGATTATATGACTTTAAACACCCTTAAATAATCATCTATATATTTTGTATATTTTTTCTACAATTTCATACCGAATTTTTTAGTAAATCAAAGTTTAAAAAACCCATAACTAAGTCAAAAATGCTTTAATTTCAATTTGGAAAGCTTTTCTGTGCTAGTTTTTCTTAGGTTAACCAATTTTCATTCCAAATTAAACATTTTAAAATATCAAAATTTTTCTCAAATTTTGAAAATTTTAATGATGTAACCCCCTTATGAAATTTTAAGAAAATTAAAAAATTTTATTAAAATTTTTTGTTTGCTCGTAAATGCCTATTTTAACTCGCCTGTAAATTCTGATCAAGAATATATATGATTTATGGGGTCGGAAATGACTATTTCACTGACTAAAATCATAAAAACCCTTCAAAAAGACCGAAAATATTTGAATTCTTTAAATGGATGTTTTCTATATTTTTTATGATTATTTTTTTTTACAAATTAAAGTTAAAAAATATTGTAACTAAGTAAAAAAGGATTAAATTTAATTCGATTTTCTTTATGCTAGTTGTTTCTAGGTTAACAAATCTAAATTCAAAATTTAAAATTTAAAAAAATCTAATTTTTTGGCAATTTCTAAAAATTTGAACGATTTCAACGATATACAAGCAGAGAAGGGTTAAAGTTTATGAAATTTAAGGCCATTTTTACTAGCAAAAAATTCTAGCATTGTAGCATCCAGCATCCTGCGTTCATTAGCAGTCTCTTCCCTACCCTCACGTGACTCCGAATTTGATATTCCCAGCCTGGCTTTCCCTCAACTGATGAACTTTTTTATTCTTTTTTGCCTAGGAAAACCCCGAGCAGCTGCTGCGTGTGCAGAGCTCATTTGCATTTTTCATAGACTTCTTTTTGGGTTCTGGGTTCTCTGCGAAGGCAGAAGGGGTAAATAGAAAGAGTCCTGGCCATGTGCTCCGATGGCATAACAAATGGAAAACTGGGAGAGGCAAAAACTGGCTACAAGGAGAGCATAACTTAGGCCACATTACGCATACGCCATGTGGCACGGGGAGAACACTCACCTGAGTTGGCCGTCATCAGTTTGTTGTTAGCTGCCGGCGTTCCCACCTGTGACGGCTTCTTGTGATGATGATGGTGATGATGATGCTTCTTCTTGTTCTTGATGATGATCTTACGGCGGAGCATGGCTGGCGGTGGCAGGTCCACATTGGGTTCCAGGGGATGCGAATCCATTGGCTTGTCGAGCAGCATATCGCCAAATATTTCGCGGCAATAGTTGGCAATTTTTGCCTATCGATAAAGAGGGGGAGATATGGCGGTTTGGAAGAGAGAAAATAAATGAACTGAAGTTGCGTCAAAGTGAGACAGCTTAACTAACTGCTAACTGGCTTTTGATGGGTTAATGTAAGGCAAAGTTTTACTTTCCTTACAGGGAGAATAAATTTGAAAAGGTAAATAAAGGTGTTTATGTAGCTTGAGGAGAGGGAAGTTGGTTGAAATAATGTTTTTGAAATGCTTTATAAGCATGTTTCTTGAAGGAATATAATATTATCTTTCTTCAAAGTTCCCTGGCTGTTTTTTTAGCTAATAATTTCTCCCAAAATTCTATAATTTCCTAAGCTTATTAATTTTAATTATAAATATAATCCTTATTCAAAGCTCCCTGGCTTTACATGTATCTTGAAAATTCTCCTAAAATTATATTTTTCCCTAAACTTATTAATTTTTATCCGTGTATTATCCTCTTCCAACATATGTTCTTAAGCTTTGTAAGTTTTCCCCTCTGGCACGCGGCAGCACGTCTGTTACCTGCCTCCCAGTGGGAAATTTAGTTTATATTACTACTTTTAATGGTTAAACTTTAGCCTCTTGTCGGGCATACTCCTCCATCCTCTCCTGCTGCTTCTCCGTTTGCCTCCTCTTTCAGGCCGTAAAAACTTTGCCTTTTGTTATTATCTCGCTCGTGGAGCTTAAGCAGCCCGGCAATTACCTTTCGAGTGGCTTCTGAGATTCGCCACGTTCCACGGGACAGAGGAGCTGCCGTTTTCCCGACTCCCTTCATGGTCTTTAGGTAATGTTTTTCGGACTGAAGGAGTCCTGCTGCTCCCTCATGTGGGCCTTGAGTTCTTTGTTTGTCTTTCGTTTGGCGAATGATGGATTAGGGCTGGATGGATGAAGGACTGTCTTACACTCTGCCTGGGCCTGTTGTTTTAGGACAAGTAACTTTTTGGCCTTTTGCAATTTGATGTTTGCAAAAAAAAAAGGTGAGGAGAGTACTACCTGGCAAGCTTTCCTTTTTTATTTTAGTAATTTTTCTATTGTTATTCTTTTGGAAATTATGAAGCTAAATTTATGCTTGAAATTGTATCTTTTAATCTAGGAAATAACTCTCGCTAGCTTAGCTTTAACGACCTCTAAAACCCGTCCTAAAATCTCACCAAAAGATACCCCTTCTTAACTTTCTTTAGAGGCCCCCCTTCCTCACCTGTTGCCTTGGATTGCAGTGATTCTCAAAGCTCAATATCACAGGGTATTCGGATGTTTTAAATGCACTCTCTGCGATGGCCTCCAGCACATCCTTGGCGAATATTTCCGGAACGAAGGTATAGCCATGGACGATGACCGGCTCCTCGGTGCGTCCATTCCAAAAGTCCAGCTCGACGCATCTGCAATAAAGCGACGATGACAGATGCACCACAAGCAATAAAACCAAAATGACAATTTCCTTTTCACTTTTCCTCTGGCATTTTTCCCCGATGCATTTTCCCTCCCTGCACTTTCCCCTCCCTGGAACGTAAATATCACGCAAAGTGGCGAATGCATTGCGACAGGCGTGCAAGCGGAAAATAAACGCAAAGTAACAGCTTCTGCGTCAATAAATTTTGTGATGTGTGTGCATCATCGTCAGTGGAGGCATTATCAGAGCTTCAAAAGGAACGACAGTGAGTGACACAGGGAATACAAGAGCATAGGGCACCGAGAAAAAAACAAAATCAATATATCCTGTATGTAAGCTGGTGAAATAAATATATTATATTCCAGCAAACGCTGGCAATTTAAACTGACAATTCAGCCAATTGGCAAGTGGATAATTCGAAAGGATAGAGGGCACATCTCGTAATAAAATGTACATTAACTTTAATGGCGCCGCTCTAAACTTTTATGTTCTACAAAAAAAAAAGGAAAACAAACAGGGCAGAGACAGTGACCAACTCGATTATCTATAATAAAACTAAGAGGGACACTGGCAGGAAAAATAATGGCGAAATATAAAAATGATTTGTCTGTTCGCTTTGAAGTTTTATGACAGCCAAAAGAAGTGAGCTCTAGAAAATATCGATATATCAGTATATTAAATATAAAAAAATATATATACAAAAATTAGAAAACAAAATGCTTTAAATAGATTATGTTAAATGTATATTTTCGATATGTTCAATAAGATTTTGTTGATATTTCTATCGGTATATTCGATATTCATCTCTACAAAACGATATCCTATAATATCGATTATTTTAAATTTGTAAACGATATTTTTCGATGTATTAAACTTCGATATATACAATTTTAACATGTTTTCGATAGGTTCAATAACATTTCCCGATATATCATATCGGTTTAGTTGTTATTCATCCCTACTGAATACCCTATCCTCCTAATCCCAATGAAAACTCTTTAAAATATTTAAAATCTACCATTTCCCTAGAACAATTGCTAGATTAATCTTGTTTTTCAGTGCACACACACAGTTTCCATGGCCAGGTAAAAACTGATGCACCTGATGCACTCACTCACACGCTCGCTCAAGTGAATGCGAGAGAGAGTTGCGATGAAGGCCACCGTGGCAACACACACACACACCCAAACATCAGACACGTGGCTCAAGGTCATGGCCAGACAGCAGCATGCATCCAGCACATCTGACCACAGCCAGTTGCGTCATTTGCATTCCACTTTCCCCCAACTAACCAGGATTAAGATCCCCACAGGAGCGGCGCACTCACCTGCATCCTGCCAGGAGGCACTGCCTGTATATCTCCACGGAGGACTTGCCTGTCAGCTGGTGGCCCGTCAGGTAGGTGTTGTGCGAGGAGTTGATGAAGTAATGCGACAGCGGCTGGTCCATGTCGTCGCAGAGATCGAGCTTGTTGGGGGCCATAATGGGGTTGTCGTCGCCCATGAGGTACCTGAGTGATAGAGGGGTTAGAGGGGATTAGTTAGGCTGCACATGTGGAGAGCTCTAGGGGAAGAAGGAGGAGGAGGATGAGGCTGCCAAGAGTGCGTCGTCACTTAAGTCTAAGCGTGAGAAAAGCTGCCTCAAGTGTCCTAAGCCTTTTATGGCTGCCGCGAACATGTGTAACAATGAGGCAAATGCACTGGGATTAAAATATTAAAGGATAAATAGACTTCTATTTAAATAAAAACCTCAAATTTGGGTTGTAATAAAGCAGTTGTAAGTTTTACAGAGATTTCTTGTTTGGTCAAAAACAAATTTACCCCAAAAAGAGTTACTTATCCTAGAGCAATTATTTCTTTAAGTGCAGTTTTTTTGAGAAATTTCCACTTGGCGGCTGCAGGCTCAAGGATTTCAGCAGTTTCTGGCGAAGGTCGCATCCTTAGCGAGCTGTCACGACTGCTGCAGTCTCAAGCTGCCTTCCATTATCCTTTTTTTTCGTCCTGGCAAAACGTCATATGCATATGCAAAGGATATGCACTGGCAGTCGTAGTTGCACTTGTACTGAAGAGAGCCTTCAAGTGACTCTAACAGGCCTAAAAGCTGTCAGCTGCGCCTGATAAGCTGTCATGCCCAGAAGAGCATACCTTAGCCTCCTCATCCTCCTCCTCTTTATCACTCTCTTCCCTCAGCAACAAGTCAGTCTTACCTTAAAAAGCCATCCAAACTTAGCTGGCCCTTTTGTGCATTGAACTTGTTGGGCTCGTACTGCTGGATGAGCTCCTTGGCCCGAGCAGGATTCGCATAGGGATACAGGATCTCGTTCAGGCGGGGATCGCGTTGCGTTTTGTTGAGGAACTCCACCAGCTGGGCAATGGACATGCATTTGCGCTTTGAGTTGCCAACGCTGAGGGATGGAAAAAAGGATAAATAAATTTAATTAAAACCAGAATTATCTGTTGCCTACATAAAATTTAACACTAAAAGACACTTCATAAATGTCCTCAAAAAGGAAGGAAACATTTATTAAAACCAGTAATTATGTCATGAATAAATTATGCATAAATTACGAGTATAAATAAAACAAAGGCTGAGCATTTGTTGTGGCAATTAAAAGCAAATACTTGTAATATGAATAATTAAAAAATAATTAATTGCCTGAAGAGTGCTAAAAGGTATATATATAGTACACCTGTTCAAGCTATATAGATTGTTTACCAATTTTTTTTATTTATTTCTTTTTTTTTCTGGTCTATACTTACATGCTGTCAAAGAGACGCTCCACCTCCGAACGCTGCGTGAGGTATTTGTACAAATTGTAAAAGTCCTCGAATTGAAATTTCGACACCGATATGCTATCGACCTTTCCCGATGGCAAACCGGTCACGTCCAAAGCCTTCTCGACACGTTTCCGATCCTCCTTGTTCTGGGCGAAAAGTTTTATGATGCTAAAGTGGTCACGACCAAAAATTGACCAGCGAAGGAGCCAGACAATGCGTTGATGTTGATGATGACGGTGACGGTGACGGTGATGATGATGTTGTTGTTGAGGTCGCCAGTGATGCATGAGCCACGTTCCAGGAGTGGCCGCAATATAGGTAGCAGGAACAGGAGCCAGAGCAGGAACCCAAGCAGGGAGCAGGAAGAAATTGTGAAATAGAAATTGGCGTAAATTTCAATTTTCAGCTCAACGTCGATGGCTGCTACACTTAACAAATATTTGTCAAATGCTTCAACGCACAATGCACAAAAGCCAGGGCTTCCATCCTCAGGACCCCTTGGGCTCTGGACATGGAGCTTTGAGGGCACAGACAGGGAGGGAAAGAGAGAGAGAGGAAGACAGGGACTGGGACTAGGGATGATTGTCAATTACTTTTTCACTGGTATGCGTCCAGTCTTGTCCACCTGCAGGCAAAGCCTGGTGTGGGCCTTCTGCAGGAACATAATCGCCGAGCCATTGAGCTGGGCCAGGCTGTAGGCCAGTTTGATGAGGCCATCGGACCAGAGCTGGAAAGAGAATGCGAAATGTGGTGAACACCTGGAGATGGATTAAAATAAAGTGGCGAAGCGGGGAATGTCTGCATTTTGGGACCAAGTTTCTTTTGTGTTTTTAGTCAAGAGAATGAAGGGAAGTTGCCTCAATCAACATTGAGATGATTTAAAATGGAATGGAGAATAGAAAAGTAGCTAAAGTTACAGCTTTTAGAATATATTTTCTGAGATATAGTCTTTCTTAAATACCTTTCTTAGGAATTCAAAGCAAAAATTAGACTAAAATTAAATTAACTTGTAAAGTAAATAAAAAGTTTAACAAATATATATTTCAATAATTCCCTAAATTATTCCCTGCAGCAAAACAAACAATAATATTCGGAAGAAACCCCTTTTGTATCAATAAAATTTCCTTAACCTTCATTTAATCCAGTTAAACTCAGATTTTGTGTGAATACAAGGCCATCCCGGCGTATGAGCAATATTTGTTTAAAACCTTTACATTTTCCTATGAATTCCTCCAAAAAACAAAGTACAAAATTCCAAACATCAACATTGATTTCATCAAAAATAAAGGAAAAAGGCCAACTATCAATAAAACCAATACCAGGAAGCGCAATATTTGCTTAAAGCTGGCTTTTTCCTTGAATTTGATTAACTCAAAATGTGCTGTAACGGCACGGTTATGATTTGCTCAGGCAAAAGGAATTTAGTGTGGGCAGCACATGGGGCGTATGCGTGATGCAGGCAGACCTACGATTGATGCGCCCGAGACAGAAAATGTTTGTTTCGAGCTTCCAAACCACAAACTATCGAACATTTTTGTTTATTTTCCTTTGCGTCGCTTATTTTTGTGCGCCTTTTTGAAAAGTTTATGAATATTTTCGGCATTCTCATAATTTTATTTTGCGGTTCGAGTTGCCTTTATGTTTTTTTTTTTTTTTGTTTTGTTTATTTTAGGAATATGTCCGCGACGCGTGCCAAAAATAATAACCACAACTGCACGGACACGGACGCGGACACGGGCCTGGGTTGCTTCTGCTGACCATTGATAAAATATAGAACATTGATTCCTTCTCGGACAAGGTCAATTCTAGACGCGACACCACGAAGGATGGACAAAGTTTGGACACGCCCCTGCTGGACGGAAATCAATAAAAGCACCGTTGAGTGGTCCATAATAATTCTTTACGCGTCGAGCCTTCGTCGGAGCCACTAAAAATAGCCAAAAACAAGGGGCGTACCATGGCACAGGTGTGTCTCCTCAAAAAAGGTGGAGCGGTGTTAATACACAAACAGAAAAGGAAAGGAAGAAACTCTTGGTTGAGGTGGAAGAAATGTTTTAAAAGTTATAGGAAATATTTTTGAAATTAAAGCAACTGGAAAGTTATACAAACTTTTGATTCCTCTATTATTATATTTATTTTTTCCGAGGCACAAACTTTCCCTACTATTTTTCCAAGTGCAACAAAGACTACCGACCATCATGTCCATCATTAGCGTCGCACACTCGACCCAATTCCCCGAGTGACTAGGAACTGGGTGTGTGTGTGTGTGTGTGTGTGAGGTGTATGTCGAGGTGACCCACAAATGGGCCGAGCAAATGGTAAATGGCTTTTTTCCCTTTCAATACTTTTCAGTTGTCACACTTCCGAGTCGTCAGCTTGTTGTCACCGCGTCCGCCAAGTGGCCAATAATGAGGTGGCCACTAAAGCCACTTGAATGCGGGCCAACAGGGGACTGAGAACGGAGGTCTGTAAACTGTGGACTGACTCACCTGGGCAATGTCCCGTCGGGTGCAGCAAAAGTTGACAAACGTCATGTTGACGAAATCGGAGCCATGACACACTGTTACCGTCTTCTCCTCCAGCGTGTCCTGCTGCCCCAGGGTCACAATTTGGCGCAGCTTGTTGTCCTGCAATTCACAGAGAAAGAAAGAGATATTTAAGAAAGAAAGAGATATTTAGAAAGAGATTATTAATTACCAAATGACCAAAAGAAAATCGAGGGGCAAATGAAGTTTTATGGCCCGACGGCGAGTCGTAAATGAAAGTCATATCCTTGTGCGCTAATCCTGCGAGTGCAGCAAAATTCATTTGGCCAAATCGTAAACCAGACAAACACACACAAAACACAACCGGGGATTCCCTCTTCCTTTGGGGTGCCATATTTCAATTAAACGGCACAAATGGATTTACGAGCCCGCCAGAACGTGCATCCTTGGCCCGAGCCAAGTCAAGTCGGAGCTTGGTAGCTAGGAGCTAGGAGTTGGAAGGTGGTAAGGCAGTCGAGCAGCAAAACATTTCGAGCACAAAGCCAACTGGGTTAAATGCAAATCAGCTGGAGCTCCCAAGAAATATAAAAAAAGGAGTCATTTGTGGACTTTCCAGACAAATGAATACTCCTTAGAGAGAGAGAGTTTATAGCTGCCTGGGCTTGGAAGGCGGCCAATTACTTGAATTTATATGCAAAGATATACTTTTTATATAGACTTGTAAAGGGTCTCTTGAAATAATAGGGAATATATCTAAGAATTCTGTGATTTCTAGAGCAAACTTCCATCCAAAGAAAATCCTGAACCTCAACACTTTTTCGGAAAATAAGCATATTAATTCCTAAGATTAATATTTCATAAATCTTAAATAGCTTAAAGAATACTAACCATTTAATTTCCAGATTTTATACTGATCCCCAGACATTAAACAAATATATTTAATGCGAAGCTCGGCGATTCTCCTAAAACATTTTACACTACATTGTAGCCTGGCCCCTCCCAAGTGGTGGGGTTTAAAAACCTTACTTTGCCGTCCATCAGATGCCCCCTTAACTGTCCCACTGAGGCGGGGGCTCAGCCCGGGATTATCAACGTCCTTTCGAATGCATGACACATAGTTTGGACATTGGACAACGGACTAAGGACCTCGCATAGGGATGCAGTGGCAGAGGCCAGAAGGCGGGACTTGGAGCGGAAGCCAGAGCATGAATTTGGCATTAACTTTGTGGCTGGCCATGTCTTGGCATTCGCATTCAGCCAGCATAGGGCCGAGACTGGGGTTTTGTGTGTGTTTGCTGTCTGTCTTCCTGCAGCGCTTCCGGCCCTGGGACATTTGACAAACTGGACCTTATCCGTGGGAGCTTGAGGGGTAGGAGACCCGGGAATGTTATCTTTTGTGCTCGCACATCGAATGCATAAGCTGCGAATAAATTCAGGCAGATGACTTTCAATGCTCTTAAATGTCTGAGCCCTGATATTTGAACCGAAAGCGTCTTATGGTCGAGACTAAAAACCAATCAGACACTACGCAAAATAGAGGGGTCTCTTGAGGTATAAATAATAATTATAGAAGAATTGTCATAATAAAGATCAATAAAATTTGGAGATATATATGGTCTATATAATAAATTTAAATATCTTTAAAGACTCTCCACTTTCTTTAACAATTTAATTAAGCCATATTCCTTTTGGTGTATGCAAATCGATCCCTTAATAAGCTCTGTTGGCTGGCAATATCCTGGCTCGCCTCTGATGATGACCTGTCAGAGGCCAGCATGAGCTGTACGGTCGACTAATTGAATGGCTCGTTCCCGGCTCCCGGCTCATAGCTCCTCTGCGGGCCATTACAGCGTCGTTCCGGTAAGCGGTGATAAACGAGAACCCACCTATGGGGGAGGAGGAGGCGGAGCCAAGGTAAACGTTTATCTGGCAGCGTCATGATTTGCTTTTAACTAAAAACTAATTCCGGCAAATTTGTCCCTCTCTGAATAATGTAAATGGCTCTGCCTTGGCCGGATTTTTGGCTCTGGCACCGTGGAAAGTTGGAAGCGTAAAGCGGAAATGACTACGGTGATTATCTTAATTGCTTCTCACGCTTCGCGCTTGGAACTCACGCGCACGACTCCCTGAAACCACCTCCTCTCCTTCACAGGGAGACAGAGAGAGAGAGAGAGCTCCCGCTAATCCTTTCGCTGTGCTCGAAATTTGAATTTTAAGAACGCTCATTATGTGCTGGAGGAGGCAGGAAGGAGGAAGGAAGGCTGGGGTTAATTTTAGACAGGCCCCAAACCCGGTCCAGACAGGAGAAGTTATTGATTTTGAAAGGTGCTAATATAAAAATAATATCCAGCTTTTAGGAGAATAGCAGATAACTGAATTTATAAAGAAAATTATAAAGTTTTCCTTACAGAATTTCTTTAAATTCTTTCTACTTTTAAGGCCTTTCTATAATCATCGCTTTACCTTTGCCTTTTCATTCACTCAAAATATTATTTTCAAGCCTCAGAGTTGTATGTGTAGCCAGGAGCAGATAGATCTCTCTTTTCGTCTCAAATTTTTCTCCTTTATTTAATTTTTTAATATAGCAAAATTCTGAGTAAAATTCTCTAGTCGTGAGGTGAAGATCGAACATAAATATAGAGTCTAGTTCGGCAGTAGGATTCAAATATCTTTTTATGTCTTGAAGATACCTTTTAAATTGTAAAAATTTTTTATAAACTCTAACTAAAGATAAAAAACAAAACGGTCAACATTTTATAAATCAAAACTCCAAGGATGAGCCGTCGCGACAGCCGCAAGCGGCCACCTTGTGACCATCAACCCCGACCCAGCGTCAACCCCACCATTTCCACAATGGGCATTGCCGGCGACATTTGTCTCCTTAATCCCTATGGCTTGATGCGCCAGTGGAACTGCAAGCCGTCTTCGTTTAGTCCCGGAGAGCGTTATCCCAGCATCCGTCCACCTGTGTCCAGGTGCAGTCACTGCCAGACTTTAAAGTGGTTGGAAGAGTCCATGAAGCAGGAAGGCTGCTTCAATCCCGAGGTTGTCAACGATGCCCTCAGGATCTGGCGGAGCAGTCCGCACAAGAAGACGCTCGGCTACTATGGCATAGGCAATCCCAACGAGAAACCCGAGGCTGAAAGCTACAACAAGTCTCTGAAGAGAAGTTTGCAGCATACCAAGGGTGGTGTGCCGAAGGTGAAAGCCCTTCACTCGCCTTTACCATTGCCCCTGAAGCCACCGAAGCCAGCTCCTGTTTGCCAGCCATACATCCTCAATCCGCAGGCTCTGCAAGCGGAGCTCGAGAGGATGCCCACGGTCAAGCAGAAGCTCAGGCCCAGCGAGGCCTTCTCTGCTCTGTTCTGCCGGATGCCTATCGATCCCAAGGATCCGCTGGGCGTAAACGAGGCCAGAAACAAAGCCAGGGAGCAAGCCAAAGCCAAAGAGAAGCCAGTGAAGTCCCCTAACCATGGCAAGCACTGGTACTGCCCTCCAAAGTGTGACGGGGCGGAGAACAAGTGCACGGATTACGAGTGGGCCAAGTACAATTTGGACTCCAGGTCCTACGACGAGGCCTTCGAGCGGTGGTTTAAGGAACAGACTATCGTTCAGCCGGACCAGGAGCCGCTGAACTACGATGACCTATACAAGCGCTTTCAGGGCTGCTTCGAGATCAAGTCCGGGCCGGATCCTGAATGCCTGGCCTTGGTAGAGTGCTGTCCGGGAATGGAAATGCCAGGAGGAGGATCAGCAGGTGATGGTACAGGTGGAGGATCAGCTGGCGGAGGAGCAGGTGGAGGAACAGCTGGAGGTGGCGCAGGCGAACACGGTGAAGATGGTAAGGGTGGAACCGGTAGGGATGGCCAGGGCGATGGAGTTGGTGGATCCCCTTCCAAAGATGGGTTAAAGCAAAAAGGAGACCAGGATCAGGCCGATAAGGATAAGGACAGGTACACGAATGACAAAAACAAGGACAAAAACAGGGATAAAAATACGGACAAGGATAAAGACACAGACAAGAACAAGGATAAAGACACAGACAAGGACAAAAACAAGGACAAGTACGACAAAGACACAGACAAAAACAAGGACAAAATCAGCGACAAAGACACAGGCAAGGATAAAGACAAGGACAAGGACAAGAACACGAATAAGGACAAGGACAAGGACAAAATTGGAGATACCAAGAACAACAATGCAGACAAGGGCAAAACCAAGAACAAGGACAAGACTGGTAAGGAAGACGGCGATGCGGACAAGGACAAGTGGGGAAAGGGCAAAAATAAGGATAAAACGAAAGACGGAGAAGAACTTGATAAAAATAAATCCAAACCAGAGCCTGGCAAGGACAAAAAGAAGGAAGTAGAAGAATCTGATAAAGATAAGTCCCAACTAAAGCCTGACAATGACAAAAAGGATAAAAAGAAAGGCAAGACCTCCGAAGAGCATGCTAAAGCCAAATCCAAACTAAAGCCTGGCCAGAAACCCGAATTTCCCAAGGATATGATCAATGATCTTAGGCTAACAGACGCCAGCGACATCCCGAATGACCGTACCAAACGTCCCTCGTCATTGGAAGTCCCGGAAAAAGAATCCTTAGTGGAGGATGACAACATGTGGACGTGGAAGCTCAGAGAGAAGCCTAAAAAGTCCCGAAGGAAGAGCAACAAGTCAAAGTCGAAGGCAAAATCGGTGTCTCCTGTCAACGAGAAGGATCAGGATAAGGACAAAAATCAGTGTCCTCCCTGTCCACCAGAAGGCTGTCCCTGTGCCATCTGCAAAGCTGTGTATGGCCAGCCAGTGGAGGATAGGCCGTTTATGAAGGATTTGCTGCGCCAGGAGAAGGAGCGCAAGCTGCGGGATTATCTTCGGAACATGCGGCATGCGGAGTACCTCAAGTGCGGCGGCGCTCAGGGCAGGGCACCGCTGCACCGCGTGGACCCCACCACCTGCGATGACACCTTCTGCCCAATCCCAAGCTGGGCGAATACTGCGACTGCCTGGGTGCCCTGCAGCGCCTCCAGGTTCTCCTTGACAAGCGCCGCCATCCGTTCATCAACAGAGAGGTCAACCTTAACCTCGCCAAGCTACGGAGTCGCATTGTCCGGCGGTTGTGTGAGAGCATCTAACCTCGGAGTTGGAAAGTTTTCATACTGTGACCGTGTTATTTTGAACTATATACCAGTGAACACAGTGGTGTTTGTTTTTCATCCAAATTTTACAAATGAATAACAAACGATTTTGTATGAAACCTACAAAGGTTGTCTTGGTTGTATTAAAGGTTTGCGGGGAATTTAAGATAATAATGATAGGTAAGAGTTACCATAGAAAAATTTTAGTATTTTGGATTGAACCTAGACCCTCTGAAGTACCTATAATTTGTAAATCAGATCAGGTTAGGCCTTTCTATACCCATGCTGTGTATTACAATTTCAGTAAAAAGCCTGCAATGCAATCAAGGAGTCATTTTCGACCCTATAAAGCATATTAATTCTTGAACAGCATCAACAGAGGAATCGTTAGAAGGAAAATAAATATTTTAAGCATTTTTTTTCGATATAAAAGTTTGCCATGACTCTCAAGTCACTTCCTAAGGGAAGTCTACCCTCATTATTTTCTCACGTCTTAAACAAACAACACCAAAATTTCAAATTGAGCATGTTTCATTTGGTTCTCCGCTATTAATTAACATTTTTAAAACCCATAAATAAGTACGTGTTGGACCCGAATCGGTAGACTTAAAACCAGAGAAGGAAGTTATTCCATTACCACACAATAATGGTCAGACGAGGATCGCAACGCCGGCAATCGTTGAGATTCATGGGCGGTCAGTGGGTAAAGGGCGAGTCGGAGGCACAGTCGCAGCCCGACAATGAGCCGGAGCAGGACCCCTCTTGCCAGGAGCTAGATCCCCATAACACTTACCAGGAGAAGCCGCTTCACATGCGCCAGTGGATGCGGTGGCACAACTGCAAGGTACACCAGATGACCAACACTGCCGAGACCTATCCCAGCATCCGGCCACCGATCAATAAATGCTTTCCCGGGAAGAACCTGGAGTACATTGACGAGTCCATGGAGGCCAATCAGTGTGGCCGGATGTTCACAATGGGCAAGGACGACGTGGTGGCCGTGTGGAAACAGAGTCCGCACAAGGACAGCCTCGCCTGTTATGGCATCGGTGAGCACTCTGAAGCCTACAGCGAGGCGGTGGCCAAGAGCCTAAAGGCGGCCAGTCTGCTCCCCAAAGAGCCGAAGAAGTCCCACGTCCGCCCCAATTTCCAGCCGATGGTAAAGGTGACGCAGCCGCGTGGCACCTATGTCCTTAACCGGGACTGCCTGAAGGCCAAGCTAGGTGAGATACCCAATGTCCGGCGCCATTTGGGTACAAGCAACGCCTTCTCCGGGCTCCACTGTCCGCCGCTCGCGGATACTAACCATCCCTTCGCGGATCAATCCACCTTTCCCAAGGTAAGCATTAAGCTGGCCCTGGGCATTGAGAAGCCAGCCAAGCCTCCAAAGCATGGCCTGCGACGCAAGCACTGGTACTGCCCCCCACTGTGTGACGATGTGGAGATCAACAAGTGCACGGAGTACGAGTGGGCCAAGTACAAGATGGAGAATCATCCCGCCGACGAGGTTGTGATGCAAGAATTTGAGCCCGTCCATGGCCATGAGCCGAGGAACTACGATGAACTATACAAGACCCTGGAGAGCTGTTTCATTCAAAATCCCGATGGGGATGAGATTTGCGAAGCGTACGAGCAATGTTGCAAGGATCCCGAGGATCCACCCTCGCAGGGATGCAACGAGTTTATGCCGGAAGGAGCCGAAGCAGGTGGTAAGTTGGAGGAAAATTACGCTGACTTGGACGATGATGGGAAGGGGAAAAAGGGGAAAGGTGATGGACGAGGAGATGGTCAGGTGCGAGGACATCCAGTGCGACACGCGGTTCTGCTTCAATACCCAGATGCAGACCCACCTTGGCCGGGTCCAGGCCATCCGGCAGGGAAGGAACCTTTGCGAATACAAGAGCATATCCAAAGATTCGGCCTCCTAGCCATGGGTTCGCCGTACGGATGATATATACCATACCACCACCACCATGCCCATGCCCATGCTTTTGTGTATTTTATGAGTTCAAGTCCCTCATTTCGTGTACAAAGATTCCTATTTTTGTATATTTTAATAAATTCGAATCGCTTTTCTGCCCAAGCGGACTTGTACTCATTTAATCCAAGGCATACGGGCGGGGCTGGTGGCTGGTCGGGATTTCGGTGCTTCTTCCTCCTGGCTTCCAGTTAATCACACATTTTCCTCTCCTTTCTCTGTGTGTGTGTGTTTGCTGGCAACGCCCACGCACTCTGTGCATTTAATTAATGCTGCGATTCCGCTTTTGAGGTCCTTGCAACGTTCATTTTTTTCAGTTTTTGTTTCGTGGCAGCCAGTCATCTCTTTACTCTCCTCTTTACTTCAAGGAGATGAATGGTCAGATCTTTTTCATAGGGTTTATTAGCATTTTCTTGCAGGATAGGTCCTTTTAAAAGAAGTCTTTGAGTTTTTAAGAGACTTGATTCTTAGGATATTTTTCTTAAAAAGAAGTAAGAACATTCCTTCAACCTCTTTTGTTTTAAACCTAAAAATCCAATATAATCTTCCAAGCCTATAGATTACTGAGCCTTACTTTTCATATTTATAATCCCATATCAAATTATTCATGAACCCCGCACATTTACAAGGTATTAACCATTCGTTAACCCTCAATATCCCACATGTTTTTGCTGTCCAAAAACTTTTTCATTTTTTTTTTTAATTTCTCCAACATTTCCCGCGGCTTTGCTTGCCTCGGGCAAACTGAAAGGAAAACAAAACTCATTTGGCTTTGGCCTTGGGCCTGTCGCTTTTCGCCTCTCGCGGCAAACACAACTGCAACTATTATCGGGCGAATGGGCGGTGGGCGTGGCCCCGGGACAAGCAGCATGATTTATACAGTGAACAAAAAACGCGGCACTCCCCGCAAAAAAAAGGGAGAAGGGAAGGCAAGGAAAGCAGAGGAAATGACGCCCAAGGATTTCCCCATCAGAATAATTGCCGTAATGGCTGGAAGCCCAAATAAAAAAAAAGGAGGCGAAAAATACGGCATTTATGGAACTTTAATTTGATAATGCAAGGAAAGCAGGTCTGGGCCTGGTTTTAGATTTGGGTTAAGGTTCGACTTTTGGTTTACGGAGTTCCAATGACTTTTTCTGCTCGAAGAAACTTACATAAAACGCACAAAAGCCTTGTCATTGCCCAGATAAATGTATTAACTTGGCACACACACACACCCTCGAAAGGAGATAGTAGCCTCATGAAAAGAAAGAAAATTGTGTAAAACCGGAAAGTGCGTGACGCAGAAAACCCAGACACTAAGGAAAACTGTTGCCATCACAATGGGGACACTGATTCCAATTCCAATTCAAGACTTGGACTCCCAACTCCAACATCGATTTCGATTTCAGTCAGTATTAAGCACGTGACTTGGTTACCTTTGCTGTTCTACCTGTGTTCCCCAACGTAATTGCCTTTCAATTGCTAAACGGCGCCAATCGAAAATACATTTATGGAAAGACCCGCCGCTAAATAGTTTCCCGAAAAAATGTGTGTCTATTATAAACAAAATGAAAATGTTTCAGGGAAAACAAACATATAGAGGGAACAAGATACATATATAGAAAACAGTTTAGAGGGGGTATATAATTTATGGCAGTCATTTAACTTTTTAAAGCTTTATTTAAGTGCCTTTTGAAGGTAATTAACTGTCGCCAGTCATCTCTTTAAATAATATACAGTTCCCTAGGTCTTTAGAATATATCGAAAATTAATTTGCAATATTCTATGCACTAATTCACGTTACACTTAATTATAAAAGCTAACCACCTGATGCCTGGAATTAATTATAAACCTTAAACGCTTTCCCTATAACTCCAGGCTAAGATGTGTCTGTGTATATTTCTGAGAGTGTGGGTTGCATGCTTCTCCCTGGCCTGATGAAAAACTTATTACATCCGCTGGCGGAACACACACAGAACCCACAAAACACACTCAAACAGACTGCCAGACGAGGCAGCCAACCACGGACTGCTCCTCACTCTCCCTCCCATACCCATACCCATTCCCATTCATCCGATGTGCGTGTTAAAACCAGACAAATAATTCCTTTTTTTTTCACTCGAAATTCAATTCACAGAAACCTGCAGCTGTCTTGGCCATTGCAACTGTGAGAGGAGCAAGGGTGGCAGATCCCCCAAAGAAAAGGAACAACAGGACGAGGAAAGCCAAGACAGTGATAGTATAGAGCCTATAGATATAGAGTAAATATTGCGTATACGCACCTTGGGCCGCTTGGCATATTGTCCCGTGCGTACATCTCGAATGGTGGCTATATCGAGGATATCCAACTCATTGTTCTGGTCCACCCAGTAGAGAAAGAAGCCCTTGGCATCGACGCGCATCGTCACCGGCGTTCCAGTGCCCGAGTCCTGCAATCAAGAATAAAAACAGAGGAAATCAGACAGTGAGAAATGAGAACCCAGACATGAAACTAAGGCTTTTAATTGATTGCAGATTATATTATTGGTGGTAATCAAAGAGCATTCTCCCACCGATTCGGGTCCAATAAAGTGATATACTTTGGTAGCACTCCGGGGTTTATTGAACTTTTACAAAAAAAAAAATTAAAAGCGAATTTAATCGGCCGCAAAGTGCAGCCGTCTGTTATTTCTGCTTATTATTTAAGTCAAATTAAATGCGCCTCCGCCGGCGGCCATAAATGTTTAATATTTCCCGGCATTCCCATTCATAAAAGGCAAAGATTCTGTGCCAGCCAGATGTGCCAACCCACCCACACCCCCCTCTTTCGTTTCCCAGCGAAATTGAAATATTTTTTATTTCTTAAATATGCATGCAAATAAGTGGCAGCAAAATCTGGCAGCCAGCGAACAAGATGTCTCGGCGAATTTCGCTTGTTTTCCTTTTTTTTTTTTTCTGGGTAGCTACTCGACTTGACTTGACTCTCCCGTTAAATGGCGCGCGGCCCAAATGAATGTTTATCCAAACTCATTTGGGAAAAGGGGTTACAAGGAAAAGGAGGAGGGTCTCCATCTCCCATTTCCATCTGGACGGAACGTAAAAGCCAACGCAGGCAATGTGCAGCTTGCGAGATGTGAGAGTGTGCAACAAAGTGTGGGAAAGTGTAGGAAAGTGTGGGAAAGTGTGGGAAAGTGCGCGGAATGGTCACGCCAGTTTTCCTCCAAGGAATGGCAACAATGTTCGCCTAGAGGTCTCTGCACTCTAGCATCGAGTACTCTTGGTACTGCTAAAATATGCATTGACTTTCTTATTATATTTGTTCTTTTTATATGACAGGGAAGTGCAACTATCTTAAGGTCCAATAATGTCAACTGAATAAATGGCGGATTTAAAAGGCAATATATATTGGTAAGAGCATACTCCAAGGGATTGGAAGCATATAATGTAGGAATAGGGATGTCACAATATATATCGATTGATTATTATCAAAGAAAGACGACTTTAAACCAGGTTTTATACAGTTTCTTAAACCTACAAATCAGATTATTAAACCCATTACAAAGCAAGAAACTGATTTTAAAGTTACTTAGTTATTAAACCTTAACAGAACGTTGTTGCTTATTACCCAATATTTACTTAATGGCAAACTTGTTATACAAATTATATATTCCTCCCCGAATTTGCAATCAGTGTCTACTTACTAACTCCAACCCCTTGGCCAGCCTTGGCTCTCTTTAATGAAATGAAATTCCAACAAATATGTATATATTGCTTACTCATCGAGCTGGTAATTTGAACTTGGCTGCGGGGCTTTTGAACCCCCCAAACACCTATATATATTTCGCGCTCATCGAATTTCCCGACCCACGAAGGAGTCCCACTCCAATTAGTGGGTGGCATTTGGAATTCCTTGACCCCGGCACTGGGCCCATTAAGATTAGGGAGAATGGCCGTTGTTATGGCCAGAAATTGATGAGCACTGAAAGACTCGTTACGAGCATATTTAATTCGCGCAGCCACAAGTTCATTATCCCTTCGGGTCGCCTCGGTTTTTGGGTCGCCAGGGATTGGGACTGGGATTGGGTTTGGGTTTAATGAACCCGCTAGGTGCCAAAGTGGCCTGCCTGGCATACACTTTCACTGCGGACCCCCTTCGCTTTTCCTCTCAACCCCCCGTCGAATGGTTTTCGCTTAATAATTGAAATTGAAAACATGCCCCTCATCCCTCTCATATTCAATTAGGCGCATATTTTCTGGGGATTTTCAGCTGTGAGATTTCCGAGAAGAAGCTCGGCACCATCGTTAATTGGAACGAAACCCGCAGCAATCCCCACTCGGGGTTGTCTTGTCCTGGGCTTTAGCTTGCTCTCCTGTTTGTCTAATTACTGGCAACTAATTGAGTTGAGCTGGCGGAAAGTTCGTTAATTCAATTTCAATATGCAAAATTCAGTGGAAATCCAATAAGTAGTGAAATTGTGTGCGAATTTCAATTTTCGCTTCGTAACTGCTTCAAACTGACTGCCACTTGACACGCTCCTCAAATATTTACAGCGACCGCTAGCATGCGTATCTGTATCTGGTGGAAGTATCTGTATTTGTATCTGTTAGAAAGTCCCTCCCACAGTTGCCATATCCGTATGTGTGGCTGTAGCTTAGGATAAGAGCGATTACATGCAAAATTCAATTGGTGTAACAGTTGGATCTGCCTCCCCGCATGTCGGTCTGCCGCCATTGAAATCGCTTAAGGGAGACCGCACGGCGAGCAGCAGGAAAAGGGATAACTGCCAGCCAGCTACAGATACATTTACAGAGCAGATGTGCCGCAAATAAAGGCACTGAGAGAAAAGCTTGAGGCCAATATAAAGGCAGTAGAAAAGGGCAAAAGTCGAGAGGAAGCGCTAGATATGATATATCGATAGATATTGGGGATTAATCGAGTTTAGTTAAAAAACTATTGTAAGTAAGGTTTCATAAATCTTAAATGTTATAGATTTAATAAAAAAATTTAAAAATCAATCAAATCATCAGTCAATTATACTAAAAAAATCTTTGAAAATACAATTTTAAAGTTGTTCCGATATTCGCTAATCATCGATTTCTTATCGATATAATGATCTTTTATGCCTTCCCTAGCATACAATTCCTTTGTAAATAAAGCTAAATCATGCCTTATAATAACAATGAACCTTAAAAATTCGACAAACGCGTGCTGAAAGCTAAAATTAAACAATTGCTGATAAAAATCTTCCAGTGCCAAGTGGAAAATATAACGCAGGTGAATCAGTTATATATTTAGCGGCATCAGACTTGAGTTGAATGTACTTAAAACATTTAACTGCGGAGATTGGATTATAATTTAAATAAAATAAAATCAATTAGTTGACGATATTTTATTGTTTATTGTTTTTTTATTGTTTATTTAGTTCTTGGGGATAATAAATCTATTTAATAATAATATAAACGAGCAATATGCATTCAAAGATCTAAAATAAAATATCTTTAGCTTTATAATAAGCTAAAAAAAACCTCTTCAGTGTAAATTCCCATTTAAAGACACACACATATAGCATATCTACAGTCATGGTGAACATCTGTTGGTGACGATTGTCACACGCCATTCACCATTCGCCTGTCAATCATGCTTAGAGACCAAGTTCTGAAAGGGCTGCCAGGCATTCAGAAGAAAGAGGAGGAGAACAGGGAGCCTCTGGGACCAGGCAAAAGTGTTCCCAGTGCATTAGGGAAGGAGGCGAAACTCCGCTATGGATATGCAAATGGTGCCGGGGACCACTCAGCAGCAGCAGCAGCAGCAGCAGCAACTCATTTCCCCTGGAGAGAGGGAGTGGGTGTGTGTGTGTGTGTTGCTTTAGACCAAACTATCGAAATGAGTTTAAACAGCTGTTGGCTGAAACTACATGCAAATTATATCATAAAATATGTAGCTGCTACGCTGCTGTGTGCTCCAAGAGTTGCCAAGAGTCCTCTTCCCCATACGCATTACCTGGCACAACTTTTCCCTCTGGCTGAGTAGCAGGAGATGCTTGAGATGAACTAAAGTCAACTTCTCGTCAGGCTCTGTCGCCAGAATACGCCATGGGAGGTTGCCTCAAAGTTCAGGGATGAAGATTGATGGGGGAAGAGGCAGAACCAGCTGGATACTTTTGGCCATATGTCAGGATCAGGCTCGGGCGCAGGCTCTTGGCTTATCCTTTACCCACTTTACCCTGTTGCACTTCCTTAACTTTTTGCTTTAATATTTTACTTCCTAAATTTAATTATTTAAATCACAATCTGCTTATTGATTTCCCATAACATTTTGCGAGTTGTTTAAACCAATTAAGCTTGAATGACATCTTAAACTGTTAACAAACTTTTAACTTATCTGTATACTTAACAACAGCTATCTACTCCTAAGAAATCACAATCCATAAGTGTGCTTGCATGGACTTTGATTGGTTTTCGGCAATAATAAAAATACTTATTAAATCACAAACAAAAAATACAACAAAATAAGAAACTACTACTATCAGCAAGCCTTTGAGGTTAATTGAAAAGGGATAAGTCATAAGAGGTTTTAGGGATAAATATATGTAGCTTAGATAACTAAAACTTAAATGGATAAAACCCAGGAACTTATATATCTAAAATCCAAGAAGTATCTACAATAATCTAGTCATAAATAATACTGAAAGAGAAATAATTAAAATAAGAACAAAATCTAATCAACAACTTTTCTTTCTAAGAAATGTATCAAAACTATAAATATTATCTATGGAAAACTCCAAAATCTTTAAAAACCCTAAACAAACTCCCCACGATAATCCACCAAAAACCTCAATTAATAACCTCAACCTTGAGCCTCCACCTGCCTCTGGAATGCCCACCACTCTGCTGCACTTACTCAGCACTTACACAGACTCGATCGTATATCATCTATCCCTGATCGGCAATCGTAAATAGTAGTTCGATTTCGGGCAATCAGCCGTCCACTTATCGGGCAATAAAACACGCTATTCGATTCGTAGTTAACGAGCCCCGTGATTAGATACGGAAACCCGCGGTGTTTACTTTAATGCACTACAAGAGTATTACGCAAAGATCCTCCCTCCTTCGGCTCCTCAATCCATATGTCTCAGTTCAGCTGATAGTAGGCGGCAATCACCTGGTAAATCCAACCCACGTAGGCCGTCACCGAGGTGTAGGCCGTTGGTCGGCTGGCAAAGCCACAGGGCATGTAGCTCCAGGAGCCAAGTCCCACCAGCTCCGCGGGTCCAGTGATGGGCCAGTAGATGAGCGGGGTGCCTCCATCTCCGTAGCAGGTCTTCACCTGCGAGCAAACCTGCTGCTTGGTAAGAGGAGCGTCAGCCGGCAGGAGCTCCTTGCACGCCGTGCTGTTCAGGAGCGGAGCAAAGGCATACTTCAGCTCCTTGGAGTACTCATCGCCATCGGCGTCCGTGAGACCCCATCCATAAACGGCAGCCGTCTTTCCACTGTAGTCATCTTCAATGTCGGGCAGGGCGATGGCCTGGACGCGGGCCGAGTACTCGAAGCTCTCCGAAACATGCAGCAGGGCAATGTTGTCGCTGCCGGCTTCACCGGTAAAACCACGATGCGTGGAAGCAAAGTCCACGTAACGCACCTGGGCTGCCGTCACATTGCTCCTGTTGACAACGCCCGCATAGATGGGGGTTCCCAAGACATCGCCATCGTTGAACTTGCGCAGATCCTCCACACAGTGGGCGGCCGTCACGATCCATCGCTTGGCAATGATGCAGCCACCGCACAGGTGAGTGTAGGTGGCCTTGGTCAGGGACAGGGAGACCAGGTAGGGTACATTGTCCACACCCTGGACATCGTAGCCATCGATGATCAGCGGCTGGATCTCCACGGGCACCTGTTCCAGGCTCTTGAGCGTCAGATGCTGGATGTGCGGCAGCTGGGCGGGATTAGCTCCGGCCAAAGCCAAGAGCACGGGCAGCAGAATCAGTGGCAAAAGCATTATTGTTACTAATACGGCTGAGAAATAATAAAGGTCTAAACTCGAGGCAGAGAAGCTATGAGGCTTTTATAGCCAAAGAGCAAAAGCTTTGGTGTTATCAGGGGAAGAGAGAATGTCCCTAGTGTGAGCAAGAAACACCAAGTTAAGGAACTAGTTCGGTTAATGGTTTAATTTGGTAACAAAACGAACTCAGTTTTAATACTTTTTTTAAAAGGAACATTTTTAAATTATTGCTATATTAGTTCCTTCCCTTTTTAGGATGTAAATAATTTAATTTCTTATATTAAAATGTATATTTTCTTTTTTAAGTCAATAAATGTGCTAAAAGTGGTGAAGACATCTGCCTGAACTTTTAAGAATATTTAAAAGATTAAATAAATGTTATAAAAACCAAGTTAAACTCACTCAAAATTTATTTAAACAATATCTTCCTAGGACAAGGACCAACATTGTTGCCTTCACAAATCCAGCAATAAAGTGCTCCACATAAAGGCCATTAAATTGCAGCGAAAGCCTGGTTAAATTCAAAATTAAATGTTAACTTGAACTAAGGCGTGCCCCCTGGCAGAGCAGATCCCATTCCGCGTCGTGTGTTGTGCCATATAAAACATGCAATTACCCTGCAAAGAGGAGGAGGGGGAGGAGCACGGTGTTCACTGCACATCCATGCACATAATGGCCAAGCTCCATTCCCTCCGAGTGGCATTAGGGGCACCACATGACCCGTTGTTGCTGTTCTTTTGCTCGGAAAATGTTTACGCAAACGTGCGGTCACTTCAGGGGAGGGATCCCAGTCATCCCTCCCACTACCACTCCCTTGTGCGCCGTGAAATCCACTTTTAATTGGCTTAGTCCGTGAGGGGTCAGTATTTTTAGCATCCTTTGAGACCCAACAAGGGGCGACCTTGCCGTGTCAACACCTCAGTTAACAAATTACGCACGCGGAAAATGGTAAGCGGAAAGCGGCGGCCGTGGAGCGAAAAGCCGAGGGCTTTTCCCACTCAAGGGCAAGTCCGAGGCGACGTACTCTTATCACTACCCCGATCCGTATCGATTCGTACGAAATTAACTAATCGCCATAAATCTATCTGCTAATCTCGCTCAGAAGTCGGGTATAAAAATCCGCTCCAATCGAGGAAGTAGTAGCATTATTTCAAAATCTGCAGAATGAAGCTGATCACCGTTACTCTCATCGTCGCCCTTGTGGCCGTCGCCCAGGGTGGCAAGCTCACCGACAAGCTGTCCAAGATGGTCCCCAGCTTCGCCACCGGTTTCGTGATCAACGGCACCGAGGCTGATCCCCACTCGGCTCCCTACATCGTCTCGCTGGCCACCAATCCCGCCAAGCACTCGCACATCTGCGGTGCCACCATCATTGCCAAGGACTGGATTGTGACCGCCGCCCACTGCATCTCCAACCCGGTTGGCATGAGCGCCATCGCTGGTCTGCACACCCGCGCCGAGGTCGATGAGCTCACCCAGCAGCGCACCATCGATTTTGGCCGCGTTCATGAGAAGTATACCGGCGGCGTTGGACCCTTCGATATCGCCCTTCTGCACGTCAGCGAGCCCTTCGTCTTCAACGAGTGGGTGTCACCCGCCACTCTGCCCAGTCGCGAACAGGTCCATGAGGGAGAGACCCATCTGTACGGATGGGGACAGCCCAAGTCCTATGTCTTCACTGCCGCCAAGACCCTGCAGACCGTGACCACCGATATTGTCAACTATAGCGAATGCAAGGAGGCCCTGCCCGAGGATGCTCCCCTGGCTGAAACCAACATCTGCTCCGCCTCCCAGCAGCAGAGCAAGAGCGCCTGCAACGGTGACTCTGGCGGCCCTCTTGTCGTGGAGTACGAGGATGCTGCCTCCGAGCTGATCGGCATCGTGTCCTGGGGCTACATTCCCTGCGGCTTGGCCCAGATGCCCTCCGTCTACACCCGTACCTCTGCCTACATCGACTGGATCTCCGAGATTCAGGCCGCCTACTACAAGCTCTTCTAAGCGCAGACTCGCGTGGGAAACATGTGATGTAGAAAAGGATCGGGATCACTTTGGATCTGAGATATGATCGATTGTTGAATAAATGCATCCGACTAAAGTTATGAGTGTTTTTGTGAATAGAAGTTGGGAGTTTTTTGGAGATTTTATAGGCAAACTAAGGGGAAGGAACTGAAGAATTGCCTTTGTTTTTGATAATCCTAATCTTTACTGGCATATTTCCCTTAAAAAAAGTTTAAAGCTTATGATTCTTGTGCTAAATTATAGACTTATTTAGCAGGAAAAAAAACTTTTAATAAATTTCTTTGAAAATATTATTTTCTTAGGGAAGTCAGTAAGTAAATATTAAATTTATAATATAATTTGATTGTTTATTACCCAAAATCATATTTTAAAATTAAATTTATGTTCTGCTTTAAATTTTATTTACCCAAAATTAGATATTTATTGCTCTAGAATAACAAAGTCATTAAAACCTAGACATCATGGCAAAGCATTTTGCTGGCCCAAGATTATAATTGATAAGGAATTGATTAAGAACTAATCTTTAGATGATTAAACACTTTGTATACAGTGTGTAAAATATTTATGTAATTTTAATGAATACCAGAATAAAGTTATAAAACTTTCCCATCCACTTAAAACCTTTTTAAAAACTACCTAAAAAGGTTCATACAAAATTACTGAAAATATTACTCTGATTATTAATAATTTATCCCATAGCTAGTCACTTTTTAATACCTTTTATTTAACATTAACACTTTCCTATTCCTGATGAAATAATTGCAAACAACGAAAGTCCAGTTCAGTCTTTGTTTGTCATTCCCTCAAGGTTGGCTTTACTATTTATGATGTCTGATTACCCTCGGAATCGATTGATAATCGACACTGGATTAAGGCCCGTCCAGTCCACAGTTTGTCTCTTGATTTACAGCCTCGCTATAATAAGCTCTGGAAAGGCCCAGACTTTTGGAGGCGTGCGCCATTGATAGAGGGAGTCTCGGGTCTGGAAAGTCATGCACTCGGGCCAATCAAAGCGATCGAGTGGAGTCTCCTTATCGAGGAGATAAGAAAGCCAAGCAAAGCTGATTGGAAAAGCTCTACAAAAAAAAGCTAAACTCTTATACTGACCAAATGTTGCTATCAAAAATTGTTTGGCCATAATGTTTGTATGCAGAAATGACACTTGCTTAGGCATATATAAATTATATTAAATATAATATTCAAATGTTGAAAGTATTTTGTAGTTAAAACGTATTTCAATATCTGTGAAGTCGATTTATGACCATTAAATAAATAAATAATAATAATTAAATACCCCTGTGGAAACCTCCATGAACTTTTGGGATATAAATCTTAATGGAATATCTTTAATCATCTAGTTCATTCACACCTCTGCTATCTAATCACATAGCGAGTAGTTTTCGAATAGCAAATTATCTATCTATTAAAAATGTACTAGTGTTTTATGACTGCTTTGAGGACACTAGACAAACTAGAGATAACCCCATAAGAGTCTTGGAAAAACTAGGGCAGATGCCTGGCTAGGATTTAGGCCAAGAGCCAGACAAATGGGCTCCAGGGAAACTTGCCTCAAGTGGATGCAGGCGCTGGACAATAATAGAAATTAATCAGTCAAAGGCGCCACTACAGGACAAAGCTAAATAAATGCCGGGTCAGGATCGTAAATCTCTTGACCAGTGGCCTGATAGCGATAGCACCGATCTTTGAGTGCCAAGATTGGCCGATGGCCGATTGTCGATTAACAATCGATCGAAGAGACCCCTATATAAGGCCCGGCAAACTGTGGCAGTGGAACATACTCGACGGAGAACAAACAACATGAGACAATTCGTGGTCCTACTGGCTCTGGCTCTGGCCAGCCTGGCCTCCGGCAACCTGATCGTCAAGCCTGGATTCCCCGAGGGACGTATCATCAACGGCTACGAGGCCAAGCAGGGCGAGGCGCCCTACATCGTGTCCCTGCACACCACGTCTCATTTCTGTGCCGGATCCCTGATAGCCGCCGATTGGATTCTGACTGCCGCCCATTGCATGACATACACGAAGGGTACTGCCAGTGCCGGCGTGCATGGTCGCTCTGACACGGAGAACGTGCAGTCGAGGGATTTCACCAATGCGCAGTACATTATCCACGAGAAGTATGGCGGCGGCGTAGGACCCTACGACATCGGTCTGATCAAGCTGGACAAGCCCTTCGATCTCAATGTGGTGGCCCGCGATGGCAGCAATCCAGTGGGTGTGATCAGTCTTCCCTCTAATAACTACCAGGCCGACGGACTCGGCCTTCTCTTTGGCTGGGGACGTGACAACTCGGGACTTTTGCCCAATGCGCTGCAGAAGCTGGATGTGGACATCATTGGATATACTAAGTGCAAAGCAGCTTTACCCTCCACTGCACCCTTGGCAGAATCCAATGTGTGCACCTACACAGAAAACACCACCGACGGAGCCTGCAATGGAGACAGCGGCGGTCCTCTGGTGCAGAATGGTGAGCTAGTGGGTGTCGTCTCCTGGGGTTACACCCCCTGTGCCACGACCAAGTATCCTTCTGTGTACACCCAGGTTTCATCTTACAATAGTTGGATCAAGGAGAAGATGAATGCATAAACCATATTCCACAATATTATATAATCACTAAATAAACGAACATTCTGTACTCAAAAAGGTGTTCTTTAATTCTATAAAAATTAGGAGGTCTATGAAAAAATCTATGAAAGCTTTGGTGACAAAAATGAAATCGATGAGAACATCTATGATATCATGCTACAGTTTAATCAGCAAGGTCATATTTTATATGAAGAATGCACAATCTAGCTTAGGAAACCAAGATTTAACGGCGATTTTTGTAATGATTTAATGCTGGGATTTCCAGACTTGATAATTTGCAGTAAACGCGTCATTAAAAATTATTTAACAAAGTAGGTTATAAATTAATATTGAAGAATAAGAAGGGGAAAAGAAAGTAGGCCACTTGAGACATTGCCTAATAAATTAGAATTCTTATCTCCTTTTAACTTTAAAATAAGACCCTAATAATACTTCAGAAATCCTTAAGATACTAGAGATTAGATTTAATTATTAATTAATTATGTTAATCATTTTTTAATTTAATTATTAACTAGCTTACCTATATCATAAATACATATATATATTATTACACAACTCTCAGCAAGACTCTTTTTAAAGAAAGATAACAAATGTATAATAAAAGATGCATAACGCCGTACAAATATTTAGTAGTTTGCTCTCTCAAATTAATCGAGAAATTAGAGGAAGAGAGCTATAAACCCCTTTATTTGATTTTTCAACTTTTTAAATATAAAAAAATTCATTTTTGCTATTTATATTTAGTTTTTAGTTTATGGTTCCCACTTAATTTTATTAGTAACACTTTAAGCTTAGTTACCCTTATTTATATTTTTAAATTCAAAAAGTACTCACATCGTCCCAGCGTATAAACTTGTCGCCATCCTGCAGAGCCTGGGGCACCTCCACGCTGGCGGTGGAAATGTACGTTCCTCCGGCACTCATCATCCTGACTGCGTTGTTGCACTTTGCTTTTGGTCTCTCTGCTGGGTCTGGTGAATGCTCCTCCGTTGGCACTTTGGCTGGTTATTTTCTGGTTGTATTCTGGCTTCCGTTTAGCCGCTGCTCGGCACTTCCGTAACGGCCTGTGTTACTGTCGCAGAATTTCCCCGGCTGCATACAAATGACGCCATGGTCCTGGTCCAGGTCCCTGGTTGGTCCTCGTCCTGGACGTGGTCCCGGCCACAATTAGTGAGCCGTTGTTTTGGCCATGCGTCCAAGCCTTTCCGACTGCATTCTGCGTCCTGATTAAAATTCCGTTCTCGCGTTGCTCCTGGCGGCTTTCTGAAATTGCATTGGAAAAGAGAGTGAAAATGTTTGCGGTTAGCAAAATGTTTTGTTTTGGTGGGTTGAGAAGGTTTTCATAAAAAAAAACTTGATTACTTGGTGGATCAACTTGAAATACTATATAAGTATGAGTTTATCCTTGAGTTTTTACAAACAAAGGTTTAGTTATCTTAAAGTTTAAATTGGTTTTAATATAGAAATAATAAAAAACATTCTACTCTTAATATATTTATTATTTCATTATACTAAAATCCTATAAACTAAGTCCATAAAGTGGTTTATTCTTCTCTTTCGATACGGTTTCACGGGGGACACGAATGCCAGAAGCAGCTTGATTAGCGATTCCCCAAAAGAGTCTGTTGCCTTTGTTTCCTACAAAAAGGTCAGGCACTGGGAACTAGGGTCCGGGTTCGGGTCCGGGTCAGAGATCCCGTGACAGGCTTCCATTCACCCAGCAGAGTCCCCATTCATCGGGAGCAACTCATTCAGCTCAGGGCTGGCTGGCTGTCCGGCATTGTTTGCCTATTTTTGGGCTGCTGCTGTCGCCGCTGCGGCCATTGTGCCTCCGAGTAGTTTTTTGTTCGGTTTCTGGGTCTGGTTGTGGGTCTTTGTGTTCCGACTGCACTTCATTAATGCAGGGAAAACCGTTTTTCGGTTCGCTAATTTGGCGCATTTTCGGTTTTCAATTAGCAGGCAGCAGACAACTCTTGACCCTGCCATCATCGAAAGCTTTAAATAGACTTCCGGCAGAGAGGTAAATTTAAGATGTGAGATACATAAACATATATATAAAAACTTGGAAAAAACCACTTCACAAAGTGGTGCTTTAGCAAGTTTCCAGTGCGGTTTTGTGCACTCAGACGAACTGAAGCAAGTTGCCTTCTTATGCTCCTAATTTCAACATTATCCACTTAAAGCAACTGGGATGACAGCTTATCCAGAGAGAGAGAGCGTGGCAGTGGAAGCGGCACACGTGACTGCGGGCCTAATACTTTCGTAATTTCTTCTGGCCTTGTCATAACCAATTTCAGCCAAGTCCGCCCGCCAGGCAAACCGTAACTAAAACTGAAACAGAATCTGAATCTGAATCAGAAGCAGTAACTGAAATAGAAACAGAAGCGAGCACCCAATGAAAACGTAAGCAAAACTTTTGGCCACAGTCCGCAGGCAGCCACTAAAACCACACAAAAATACACACATGTACACTGTAGGAAATAACTGACAATTGATATGTTAAATTATTGTTTAGAAATGGTATTATTCCTGAAGATAACATCATATTATCTAAGGCTAACAGACCTTTTGTGCTGCTAAAAGCATACATTTTAAGGATAACAGAGTAATTTTGCAAATAACAGCACTTTTTTAAGATAACAGAACTCTTGGGCGTAAGAATAACAGAGAAATTGTACGGAGAACAGAACTTTTTAAAGATAACAGAACTCTTGTGCGTATAAAAGCACATTTTCTGGGGGTAACAAACCTATCGTGAAGATAACAGCACACTTTTTGTTAGACTGTTATTTGTGTAAATTCAAAACCAGTATCTTTTTTTATAAGAAAATTCCTACATAGAAAATCAAAATAGATATTCTCCACTAAATTAAACAATAGAATAAAAGCTATATATTTTTCCCAGTGTCCTCTCTTGTACTCACACATGTGTGCTAAAAGTTTTTCGCGTATAAAGGAAGTCATTTGTTTGTATTTGTTGCTCTGGCAAATAGAATTGAATTTGTGAATTTATTTTGCCGTTTTCCCTGCCATTTTCTGTTTGAAATTGAGTTTGTACATCATAAATTTGCAGTCAGCCAAAGGGGAAGTAATTAAGCATTTTCATTCTGTTTGTGTTCCGAGTGCTTTTCTTCTGTGTGTATGTGTGTGTGTGTGTGGCAAATGGATTTCGATTCGATATCGAAAATTGTTATCGTAAGTGGAATGAAAAATGCGGGAGATGCCTGCTCGATTTTCCTCATTTCCATGCTCTGCGCGCTTCATAGCTTTTCCTTTGCTTTCCCTACTCGTCTCGCTTTTTCCTTTTCTTTTTTTCATTTTGCTTGCAAATCGTTTTAAGTGTTTTATGGCAAACGGGCAAAAAATTTATTGCAGGCAATTTGCAGATGTACCCCCGAGTGGGTGGACAAGGTGGGTGGGCATTGGGTGATTGGAGAGTGTTTGGGTATCCTGGTGGCGAGGATACGCAACGGAAATCACAGCGGCAACACACAGATTTTCAGTGACTTTTCCTCCAACTCCAAGCTCTTTTTGCTCTTTCTAAAAAACAGAGATAGAGAGCGAAGGCGAGAGAGGCCATGAATCATGCATGCGACACAAACAGAACAAAACGCTATGCTCCCAGTTACTGCTCCTACTCCTGGTTCTACCCCTCAGTTTTCCACAGCTCCATCTGCTGGGAAAGCGGCATAAATCAAAGCTCGAGTCAAAATATGTTTTCCTTTGCCAGTTCACATCCTAAAGTTAAATGTTGATATATGTAGCGCACCGCGAAGCACTTGTTATTGGCTTGTTTATGACGGACTTTTAGTTGATCTGCACTGAATTTAAGAGATCGAAGTACTAGTTTATATAAATAAATATAAAAAGAACAAAAAAAAAATAATACAAAAATATGTTTTAAAAATAAAAAAACCAGCTAAACATACTTTTTTTCTTTACAATAGTTTAAAGTAAAATCAATATCAATGACAACACAGAATCCTTGCAGCTTAGTTTTATAAATGTCCTGTTTTATGTGCTTAAATGACCCGTAACTTTTTCAAATTAATTTAAAAAGTACAAAGTAAATCGGTGGTCTTCGGTCCTTTGTGCCTGCTGAAAGTAGGTCTGGCTTTTAAGTACCTGCACCTAAGTGTCCACTTAGTTCAGGGACAACCTTTCCGAATGAATTGGAATGCCACCCCCATCAAGCTCTGCCACCCGCTCTTGTCCTTCGCTAGCCTCCTTCCGTTTCCGGGAAAGGTGCGGAAGTTGCTTGTCAAACGGCAATCTTCCCCAGCACACTCTCTCTCACACACACAAACACACATATACACCAACAAGATAATCAAATCAAGGCGCCAGCTATTTGGTTAATGTGCATGACAGCGTCGCCAACAAAAGGGGGCCAAGAAAAACGAGGAAAAATGCGGGAAAAAAGCTGAACATGGGGCTGAGCGGGGAAAGTGAAAATGTTTAAAAAGTGAAGCACAGGTGAGAGCCGAAAGATAAGAAGGAGGAGGCCATTGCCAAGCTGAAGAAAAATCCCCGGTGTTGCCTGCTTTTAGGAGCGACAGTTTTCTGCCTCCTTTCTGTCTCTCTCTCAGATTTTCCTTCCGCGTAAATTGCAGCGACAGCCTGTGGCGCTGTGTGTATGTATGTGTGTGAGCCGACTATAATTTCATTTGTGGTACATAAAACTTTGTCAGGCTTCATCTCTCTCTCTCTTTGGGCCAAGACGAACCGAAGGCCGGTCGAGGAGGGAATCACATTAAACTAATTGCTTTAGCTTGTCATTGCCGTTGTTTCTATTGTTTTTGTCGATGTTGCTGCGATGTTGCTGATGCTGCTGCTGCTGCTCCTGCTGTCGAGTGTTTGATTGTTAGTGCTTTTAGGCAGCGCAAATTATATTTGCTTGAATGCCAAAATGGTTTTCCCTAGCATTTGGCAGCTATTAAAAATTTAAAAGCCACCACCACACCACGCACACTTACTGTGTGTCCTTAACCTTAAGGATGCCAGAAAAATAAAAACTAACAGCATGAACATGTACTTAACGGAATTAATTTCAAGTACCTTAAGGTTTTTCCCAAGATCTTGGAAATGTGAAGATTATTTAAAAACAAGAAAGGAAACTAACTTCGGGAAGCCGAAATTTGTATACCCTTGCAGTTTGCCATATGATCTTTCATTCAATCAAAAATCGATCATAACTAAGCCAAAAAAGCATCAAATTCGATTTGGAAAGCTTTTCTGTGCTTGTTATTTCTAGGGTAACAAAACTGCATACAAAATATCTAATTTTAAGATATTACAATTTTTGTTAATTTTTTCTGTGACAATTGAAGCATTTTAAGACCTCAAAAATACAAAAAAAAATTATGAAAAATGTTTTTCTTCTAAACATGGCTAGATCGACTCCGCTTTTTGTGCTGATCGAGAATATATATGATTTATAGGGTCGGAAACGACTCCTTCGCTGACAAAAATCATAAAACCACTCAGGAAGATCTTAAATATTCACACTCTTTAAATGAATATTTTTATATATTTTAAATGGTAATTTTTTTATAAAAAATAATCATAACTAAGCCAAAAAAGCATCAAATTCAATTCGGAAAGTTTTTCTGTGCTAGTTTTTGCCAGATAAACAAATCTGCTTACTAAATTTCAAACTTTAGGATATTACAATTTTCGCTCATTTTTTCTGTGACAATAAACCATTTTAAGACCCCAAAAATACAAAAAAAAAATTATGAAAAATGTTTTTCTTCTAAACATGGCTAGATCGACTCCGCTTTTTGTGCTGATCAAGAATATATATGATTTATAGGGTCGGAAACGACTCCTTCGCTGACAAAAATCATAAAACCACTCAGGAAGATCTAAAATATTCACACTCTTTAAATGAATATTTTTATATATTTTAAATGGTAATTTTTTTATAAAAAATAATCATAACTAAGCCAAAAAAGCATCAAATTCAATTCGGAAAGTTTTTCTGTGCTAGTTTTTGCCAGATAAACAAATCTGCTTACTAAATTTCAAACTTTAGGATATTACAATTTTCGCTCATTTTTTCTGTGACAATAAACCATTTTAAGACCCCAAAAATACAAAAAAAAATTATGAAAAATGTTTTTCTTCTAAACATGGCTAGATCGACTCCGCTTTTTGTGCTGATCAAGAATATATATGATTTATAGGGTCGGAAATGACTCCTTCAGTATGTAACACACTTTTGACTGAAATTATAATACCCTGCAAGGGTATAAAGATAT